TTCAAAATAATGATGAGAAGCATTAATGAGCATTGATGCTTCCGATCTGGTACATGATTGGTTAAGAAGCCAGTACACATATTCTCCCATGAAGAGATACCCAATAAATAAATCTATTATAATACTTTTATTAGCTACCATAGTACAGTGAAAACCTCTATTTAACGGACTGTATGGAGAGGAATGTCCTTTATATTGAAGGTCCATTAGATGTGAAACCTCCATCCAACAAACTACATAGGGATGAAAGTCCATTATGTCAGGGCCCATTAGACGTGACCCCCATTATATGGAGAGAGAAGTCCACCATATAGAGGTTTCGCTGTAGCCAGTCAATAGAACACATCGTGCTACTGTACTGGATTTAAAGATTATTAATGACCTTTATTTTAGATTAAATATTTTATACCGTCAATGCCAAGACGAGGCAATGAGATTATCAATTCGTTTTAGTATATTTTTCTATGACTTTCGGTATTACGATGAACAGCATAATGAAGCAGATATGAGGAGCAAAGAACTGAAGTACAGTAGGACAAACAAGCACCAGTATGCCCAAAATACAATAATATATTATGTCTTTCCCTATTTATCAATTAAATCTGCACTAACAATGTTACAACAATCTGTCACTTGATTCCCTTTAATTTTTACTGGTTCCAAAATTATGGTACAGTAATTTGAAGGTTTTGCAAACTTTTAACTGCATTTTTTTTTTTTTTTACATCACTCACCCTACTTCAGTTCTGTGCTCCTCATATAACATATTACGGTAACTGCTGCTTCTGTTGATAAGACGCGGCTGCATATATATATCCAGTAAGGGCAAAGGACATGTTAAATTATCCTTGCGTTAAATTGTTACTGTTTTTAACGAATATGGACCCATGGAACCTGCTGCAAAATATTTAACAACATTAGTTAGTTGACAGAGGGGTGGGTTAGTTAAAAAGGGAATGTATGTATATATAAAGAAACGGATTTAACTACCACCAGAAAATATCATCTCTAGGTTTACAAGTCTTGCACAGCCTTCACAGACACGTCTAGCTACACTAAATAATTTGAATTGTCAAAATTTTTTAGAAAACCAAGCAAAGTTTAACATCGAAGTGTTTTAAATGTAAGATGACTGACAGTTTCTTTCTGAAGTTCTTTCTTACTCATAATAATAATAATAATAATAATATATATATATATATATATATATATATATATATATATATATATATATATGTGTGTGTGTGTGTGTGTGTGTGTGTGTGTGTGTGTTTTGTGTTTGTGCTGTTATGTGTGGATTGTGCCAGTAAAAAATGAACAACAACATAAAGTCAAATAAAGAAATAGTTATGTTACAACTCCTCCCAGGGTTATGTTCCAAAACCCACGGTGAAGAAGAATTGGGGGTAAAGTGATAGCAATGCTTCTTCTGAATATGAATGACCCAAAATTCTTTGTCGTGGGTTTCAGAACATAAGGAGGCAAGGTAAGTGTAGGCATGCACCTTTTTCTTTCTTTGACTCTACAGTACATCTCCACTGAAGTGTAAGAAACTGTGCTAAAAATCACAAAAAAATCATATTGCCAATGACTGGGGAAAAGAAAATCTATTTAATTTCCAGACAAAAATGTATTTAAAAACTTAAATTTTTTTTAAATTCTTAAAAATTAAAAATCCATTTATTAAATTTTGTGACATCATCTTCACCAAGGGAAGAAAAAGCCCATAAGGTCTCGTCTTTGTTAAGTAGTAACAGTATAGATGAGGAGCATACAACCAGAGTGGAAAAAAAAAAAAAAAAAAAAACCACTGGCGTTTTCTTCTCTGTGATCTGCCTCTCACCGCCAGCCCTGTATGTAGTGACACGTGGGTAGTTTTACTTCATAGCAAAATCGACCATAATGATACTTACAGAAGTGGTTTCCTTGTACTTTTGTGAATAAAACTCAATTTTGACCAGTGACGTTTTGTCCACTCTGGTCATACTTGCCTCAGGTAATTAATATTTATTGTGGTTATACAGTACTCACACTCAAGCCATCAGAACTATAGTCTTTTTATTTTTTAGCAGACGGTACTAGGGTAAGACGCCCTGACGCCCCCGTCTCCAAAAGTAGGAATTTGTTTGTGACTTCGATGGTAAATATTCTTTATTTCAAACATTTTTTTCACTTATATCTTTTTTCACTTATATATTTTAGGAGTGTTTCTGACTTTATGCATTTTTTACTTTACTTTGTATGTACTTTTCTGTGAGCTGGAACCATTTACCCAATATCCCATTTAAATAATGAATTCGGTTAACAAAATTTTCGGTTAATGAATGACTTTCTGGAACGAATTGTGTTCGTTAACCGAGGGACCGCTGCATATGAATTTATTAATGATATATCAATCGTATGTTCCATATGCGCCAATGAGCTGCAAGGGCTTGGACTGTCAGATAAAAACAAAACAAAACTACAGGTGCCACACTTTACACAACCTTACTAATGTTTGTACAGTATTTACCTGATGTAGAGTCGCTCAAAAAACTATCTTTACAAAAATCATGTTAGACTTTATGACACAATGGACAGAGGAGGATTTTGACAACCCTATCGAGACAACAGGAGCTACAGTGTTCATTCTGAAATTCATCGACCAGACGAAAGATTTTGGCAGCCCCACCGAGACAACAGGAATGACTCCTGTTGTTCTGATATTCATTGACCGACCCCTCAAGTAGAGATAAGTTTTTGAGTGACTGTAAAGTACTATAGTACACCTTTTCCTACATCGTGACATATGCACAAAATCTTACAAACATCATCTCCTTATGTTCATTACTGTATCCAACACTCTACAGATGTAGGAGGATAGTCACTGTGAGAAGGACATTAACTTTGTGACACATTAATTTCAATACTTAAGCAGAAGGATAACACTCAATGGTAATATATACTGTATATAGCTTTGAAAGGAACAAGTCTTTAAAAAACCATAATATGTGCTAGGTTTCTAACACATTCAAAATCTGACTTAACTGGAGTACTGTACACGCCATTAAACCAAGCACCCATTCAATAAAGAAAAGACTTCTCAAGACACACCATCACTTCCTAGTGGAGAAATGGTAAAAAAATAAATGAAAAATAAAAATAAATAAACTATATCACCGACCTGTTCTTCTTCATATTCCTGTATACATTAATTAAACATGCACGGAGTATATAGTTGTACATCATCACGACCGAAACTTGAGTAAACATGCCAAGTGATTACCAGCAAAAATGTCCTCCATGTTAAAAAACAAAAAACAAAAATAAAATAAAATAAAATGCATCACAAAACATCAGATGCACTGTAAATATACTGTAGAATAAGTCTTATCATAAATAAAAATAAAAATAAAAATAATAAAAATAATAATAATGCTTTGGTAAACACAACAACCAATGATAATAAACTAGACATACTTACACTTATTGTACAGTACTATCATTCCTGAAGTAAAAAATGAAAAGAGTTCCTGCATAAAATTATTACCTCAACAGCAACAAAAAGAAGTAATAATATACCTAATAGTATCTAACTTAATATTTCCCACGACTGTACAGTCAACTAATAAAAGTTCCATCAGTCACCTTTAACCCTGAACCACAAACCCTCAAAAGATTCAGACTCATGTACCCAAAGCATTTACGGACAGAATAAAGTTCATGAGCCTGAATCACCCAGGGCCCCTTCAGAGAGGAGAGAGGCGACCGACAAGACTTTAGTAATTAGGTGACCGTAGTAGTACATGTAAGATGGCAGCACCGACCCAGAATAATGATAAAAGAATCCAGATTTACTCAGGGCTTCAACAAGATGCACAGTAATTGCTCCGACAAAAACCTAACAGACATAAAACCTTATCAACCATATTCAGCACCATATATTGATCCCCTGAGGTCAAGGATTTACACACAATAATACAGTAAAGTATTCCTTAACCCCATCCCACTGCTAACTCAATCGAATTCCTCTTTTTCTCCTTCTAAGATTTTGACACTACTATATGCCATTGCAGAAAGATACACCACTGCATTCATTTTAAGATATGACATAAAACTCCTCATTCCCATCACACTACTAACTTTTTTAACCAAATTCCTTCCTCAAAGATTACCAAGTACTGTATGCCTTGGTTAAAGATACGCACTGCATTCTAAGATACGACATAACACCCCTTAAATGCTGTCACTGACTGCTTCATCTGACCATAAATCATAACTGTCAATAATATTCTTCAACAACAATTATATACACATGCATGAATTACTACTATACAGTATAACTATCATTACACCTATAATTTCTCCTTCTTTTCATTACCTATCAATGTCATTCTATAATAAACAACCAAATTAAACGACATTCGTCCATATTGCACAGAATAATATCACGCCAATGGAAACATATGAGTAAAATGGTAGTGCGGGTTGTGGTGACTGACCAACTCCATACAACATATTAACAGCCAAATATTGTTGTCTGGCTACAGTGAAACCTCTATTTAATGGACTATAATGAGAAGTCTGTTATATTGAGGGTCTGTTAGAAGCAAACCCCCCCCCCCCCATCTCACAGATTATAGAGAGGGAGGTCAGTTATATCGAGGGTTCATTATATTTAAAAACCCCATCTAATGAACTATACAGAGGTGGAAAGTCCACTACTATATTGAGGGTCCATTAGATATGAAACCCTCATCTAATAGATTACATGGAGAGAGAGAGGTCCATTATAAGGAGGTTTCACTGTACTTCATTCTCTCACAATACAATATTCTTCCTCCTACACACCAACATTCTCAACACTTTGATAATAATTCAGTCATTACTCCTAGAAACTCTGGAATTCATAAAAAAAAAATAAATACAATCTGGCATAAATCCTTTCTAAAAACATATGCAGACTTCATATTCATAAAAGCAGGGAAAGAAAGTTTGTATTTATAAAATAAAACACTATCTGACCCAAATCCTTTTTAAAACATATGTAGACAACTTTATAAATTTAAAAAAACAGAGAAAAAAATCTGCATCCATATAAAAAACAAAAGATACACAGTACTGTACTATACTCTCGAAACCTGCCGAGCGACTATTTTCATTACATCTATATAAAAACAAAACCTTTTCTTCATTATGTTACGTCAACACAAAAGAGTAACTATATATAAGTCTCAAACCTTGAATAAGATGGATTTGTGACCACGATTGAAAAACAAGATTTCCTTATCCTTATTAAAAGAAAGTTAAGCTACACGTACAGAAACTTGACCCCAAAACAACCACTCCTGCCATTATGCTCTCAGGTTCACTAACTAACAAAAACAGCACAGTGAAACCTATATTTAACGGACTATATGGAGAGGAAAGTCCGTTATATCAAGGGTTCATTAGATTTTGGAACCCCATCTAACAGATTATATGGAGAGACAAGTCCGTTATATAGAGGTTCACTGTACTGCATCACCAATATACAGGAAACAGTACATGCCATTCCATGTAATTTATTTTTCATATAGTCTTTCTTTATTTTTTTGAGATTCTGTAAGTAAATTTTGGCACACTAAAAAAATTGTATAGACCTTATTCGCAGTATTGTTTGTAAGGACGTGTGTATACAAACTTTAACAACCGCTGGAAAACACTAAAAACAGAACCATTTAAGTATATAAATGATAGTTGTACTGGATGGATATTTCTCATTAATAACATTTTGAGACGACTTAAAACTTAAAAACCTAAAAAAAAAAAATCTTACTTAAAAGACGTTAGCTATTGAGATATCAAGCAACGTTGTAAATTAAAGCTTCAGGAGAATCGTTAAAGCATAATTATTAATCTCTCATGTGTGTGTTTTACAGCGCTGGAGTGATGATGATGGTGGTGGTGAGGATGTTGATCACCATCATCATCATATTCTTCCAGTTCACTGAGAATCTCACACTTTGGAAATGTTTCAACTCCACCAATGTTACAATGCCATGTTCAAAATTAATAAACTTTGGACAAATGATGAAAGAGTCATTCTCGTCGACACTGCATCTGTGAATATATATACTATACAGTATTCTCACCAACACTGTATCAAGAATATATATTAAATTATCACTAAATCCTAAGTACTGTAATACAAGAGATGTCCATAAACAAATTCTTTTAAAACAAAGATGATTCCATAAAAGATAAAATATCCCAAACTTGGGGAGAAAAAATACCTAATCAAGCATGGCTGAATATTTAACAGAGAAATGGCTAGCTTTGCCCTAATAATTAGTATCATGTTTTGTAAAATGACATCAATACATTTCCTTTCATCACTGATTTAGCTTAATAGTGAAGATATATCAAATAACTCAACTCAATCATGTAGGATAAATCTTTCATTGCCATGCCACTAGCTGCCCAGTATAAAATATTAACCCTCGTTGTTGGTCAATATGAAGCAATGACAACGATAATAATAATCTTGGCACTCACTGGTTTTGTTTTATCTAATCGTCCAACTCCTCCATACGACACCTGGCGGCCATCTCCACAACCTCGAGGCTCGTGTAATCCAGTTCCTTGATCAGACACAGCACAGCAGACAACAAATTTGCATTCTGGAATTTTTTTTTTTTTTAGACATACGTATTGTAGTACTTAATTTATTTATTAAAACCTCTATTTAATGGACTATTTGCATTGGAAAGTCCATTATACCGAGAGTTTATTGAATGTGAAACCTCCATCTATCAAACTGCAGAGAAATGAAAATCCGCTGTCAAGAATCCCTTAGATGTGAAGCCTTCATCTGACAAACTACAGTACTACAGTATCTAGATATGAAAATCCATTAAATCAAGGGTTTGTTTGATGTAACACACCCCACCTAACAGATTATTATTACATGGGGAGGGAAGTCCATTATATGATGGTTTAGCTGTATTCGTTTGTACGTATAATACAATACAGTAAAACCTCCGATAACAACAGTTCGACCAACAACTTTTCATATTTAAAACCCTAGTTAATTTAGGACCCAATTCAATTTACGTCTTTATTTCATTCGTATTCACGACCAAAATATATTAAAAACAAAATAAAATTACATTTTCATATAAATAATAACTAAATCCCGATATGTATTATAAAAAAAAAAATTGCGAGCACCTTGTGCAAAGAAGCTGCCTTGCCAATGAGTGGTAAACAACAGTCGGAGCTTGGCGAGCCTTTTGTTTTCACGCATTTGGAACAGGAACAGGAGAAAACTTTCTCAGGTTTCTTACAGCATTTTTGCATCTCTATTCACCATGAACAAGAGAGCAAGTGATGGTTGTGTTGTTTCAAAAGTTAATAGAGAGTGTATAAGCTTAGCCGAGAAACTAGATGTGTTAAAACGATATGAAAACGGTTAGAGGTCTGTGGATATTATATGGAGCAAGCAATGAACATATTTTCTGAAGCGGATCCATTAACAGAACAAAGCAATAAATTTAAATAAACGCAAATGACCTCTACATAAAGATGAACAATGAGAAAAGAAAGCAGCTGTGCAAGGTTCTTTCAACAGCTTTATTATTCGAAGGCCTAAACCATCAACTTTAGCTACACCATCAAATTCAGCATCAGAAGCAGCTTCAACATCGACTACAGGTTCAGTAACAGTTTCAGCAACAGCTTTATGGAAGACTACAGCTTCAGCCAGAGTTGAACCTGATGACTTTTTCATCTGAGTAAAAACTCGCACAATATTCATTGGGTGTCCTTATGTTTTAGACTTTACCACCATTGGCGAGTAGAATTTTTGTTTTAAATTCGTAAATATTATTTAAAGCATACAGTATATGAACAGTATATGTAGAGATATGACGATATGTACGCACTAACTGTTCATACTTTGGCGTTCCCAATTGTCTCCCTTTATTTCTTTACCATTAGTGGGTAGCTACTTCCAGTGTTCCATTTATTAACATTAAGTAACATTACTTAAAACATACAAACAGATATTCAATTTTTTTTAAATTAAGTTCACTACAGCTACAACCAGGGTCTTATTTTCCTCAGTTTCTTATGTAGAACCACCGTCACTCTCGAAAACAATGCCGTTTTGTCTTCTTGTGTGTGTTTTAATATTCTACGTATTTTCATTAATGAATTGCATTGTTCATTTCACATATATAAACATTAATTCGATCAAATGCATATTCGGTAATAAACAATAATGAATCTTTTGTACATATTCTTAAGATAAATGACTATGTTTCCTTGAGTGCACACGTATACATTGGCGTTCCACTATCAGTCTCGTCTTTTTTTCTTTAATATCAGTGGTTACTTCTACTGTACATTAAATAACATTAATTAAAACATACATATTTTTTACATTAATTTTACTACAACAACAACCAGGGTCTGATTTTCTTCAGTTTCAGGTGGATAACCGACATTATGGGTGTAAACACTGACAACAATGCTGTCTCTTATCCTCTTGTGTGTTTTAATATTGTACGCATTATTAATGATTGTATTGTTCATTTCGCATATGTAAAGATTAATTCAATCAAATACATATTCAGTAATAAATAATAATGAATCTTTTGTACATATTCTTAAAAAGATAAATGACGCGATATCCTTAAATGGCACGTACTATATGTTGGCAATCCCAATCTATCTCTTTTTTTTTTCTTTGCCACTAGTGATTAGTTACTTCTATTGTTCCATTTATTAACATTAAATAACATTAGTTAAAACATATATATTCATTTTTATTAATTAATTTTACTAGAGGGACAACCAGGGTCTTATTTTCTTCATTTTCCCGTGTAGAGCTATCGTCCCGGACTCCCGGCTGTAAACACAAACTAAAACAATGACGTCCCATCTCCACTTGTGTGACCATATTATTATTAATTTATATTGTATAAGGTGCATTGAGAAACATTATTTAAAGAATATAGTTTGCAATTTTCATTAATTTTATTGTTTTTGGGGGAAAAAAGGGTAAAAAGCCACACAAAAGATATGAAAAGGTCACACTTGGGAAAGCATCTCATTATTATTGCTTTAATTTAATGGTAATTAATGATTCGCGATAAGACGATTCATCTTACACTGCAATATTGGAGGACACATTAACGTCGTTATTCGAGGCTTTACTGTATTACCGAAAAATCAATTGCAAACAAAACACAGCTACTTTATTTTGTTTAAGTGAAGCACAGTAGTTGATATAGATGTACAGTATAATAATTTGATCCCATCTCATATACTATACTGTATTCTAAGTATTACACTAACCACGACAAAAAAAATGTTAGGTCAGGTCAGGCTAGGTACGTTAGGTCAGGTCAGGTGATCTTACTCGTGTCTTGGGCCTGGCAGGGTAAGGCTTGGTAGGAGAGGAGCGTTCGGAGGCCACGGCTCGGGATGCGGTGTCTATCTGCTGCTCTGCTCGACGGTAGGCATTATCATAGTGTTGCTGCAGCTGTTGTACGACCCTGGTGCTATCACTCTATAAAAAAAACATGGATGATGAAATATAATCAATACAGTAAAACTTCCATTTAACAGACATCGATCTTATGGGACTAGTCTGTTATATGGAGGTTTAATATATAATGAATCTCAATATAATGGACTGTATTCTCATATATGGAGGCTTCACGAACTCTCGGTATAATGGACTTTCCTTTCTATATATACATTAGTCCGTTAAATAGAGATTTCACTATAAATTAGATAAGTAAATTAGCTTTTGTGTTTATCTCCATCAACCTAATGTGTTTACTGCTCTCTCTCTCTCTCACCACATACTTCTATACATATTATAGATCTATGTACTATACTGTTTAAAAAATTACCCATTATAACCATAGCTGCAAACCTAAAAAACAACCTTTGAAACAAACGCACGACTAAACCCCCAATGGTGATAGTTCGTCGTTTATTTTGCTGTGAACTTATCTATACTGATTAAACAATTACCCATTACATTTTTCATTCCATATACTAAAAAAAAAATTATATATATATACTGTATATATATATATATATATATATAAATGCATTTGACCATTGTTGCAAACCTACGATGAAAACGTAGAAACAAATGCAGGACTAATTTTTTAATGGGCATACAGTAGCGCGTTCGTTGCTTACTCTGCTACTGTTAAATTGTTGAGCGTATCGAGGATCCTGGGAGGGTGTGCGATGTTCATTGCTTCCCGGACTCTGCTGGACTTCGTACGGCGACGAGGCGTACCCGTAGCCATCCCCGCGGCTGTAAGCACGTTCTCTCTCCTCAGGCTCACCCTGAAAAAATATATACAGTACAGTACAGTACAGTACAGTACAGTACAGTACAGTACATATACGATTTCTATATAAGTAAACATACGGTGAAACTTCCAACTAACGTGACTTCTCCCTCTATACTATACTGTATAATCCATTAGATGGAGGTTACACATCTAATGGACCCTCGGTAAAGTGCACCTTCCTTACCATACAATCTGTTAAATAGAGGTTTTACACCTAGCTGACCTCGATATAATGAACCATACTCTCCCAAACATTGTTATACTGTACCTTGTGTTTCGGCACTTGGGGTCATAACATGGATTTTGTTCAAATTTCATACAAAGGTACTGCCCTACTTTACATGTTGATCAAGGATCTGGGTTGAAAAAAAAATGAGTAATTGGTGTTAATTAATGACCTTAGAAATAATCAAAGATACTGTATTTAGAATATTTAAAAAGTTAATTATGCTGTGCCAATAACCTTTAAATCACCTTCATGTACATTTTCTTGAGAATATAGACTACTGTATCTTTACTATATAATCAAGTTAGTTTTCACTTTCAAAAAATTTCATTTGACGTACAAAGTATGCCTGACCTCATACTGTATGGTGGAGATTTCACAATGAACGAACTTTGATATAATAGACCGCACTCTCCCACAAGTGTTATATGGTGGAGGTTTCATATCTGAAGAACCTCAATATAATGAACTACTGTACACTCTTCCAAATAGTTTGTGAAATACAGTAGACCCTTGCCATTTGGGAGGGATAGGTTCCAAGAAATGGGGCAAATTGGCAAAACCGCAAATGACAACTTATACAGTACTACCTTAGTGCACTACTGTATACCTATACCAAACAATTGACCAGCCATGGCAGCACTCATCCCCTCTTTTAACTTATCTAATAATAAAACTTTCTTTGTCAGGGTCATCACTGACTTCTGCCTTTTACATTTCACTCCACTAGCATCACTAGCACTGGCACTAAGCAGTCTTTTAGGGGCTATTTCACACAGAAACACTAAAGTTTTGAGAGTACAACACGAGATGCTGCATGGGGTGACTCTTGCTGCGGGAAAAGGCTTGCAAGCTAGCCACCATAGCCACCATCTGCTTACCATGAATCGTCAAAATCGCGAATTGCAAACCCGCGAATGGCAAGGGTCTGCTGTAGAAGTCTCGCTCTACCAAACCATCTTTCACTTACAAGTAGTGTAGTGAAGTGTTCAGGATAAATATTTTGTCTGCCATTGTGAGTGTTACCTAAAGTATCATTTAACCTAAAGTGAACAAAACACTGGACTACAGCAGAGCAGAGATGACAAGGTTGATAACTGACTTTTACCACACCTCTGTTTGACTGCCTTAAGATGCCTTAAATTAAATTTAAACCAAAGGGGACATTCCAATACTGTATTTACCAACACCTTACATGTAGTACTCCAGATGATATATACTAAATGTTATATAATAATTCCTTGATACAGTATATATATTAGGTGCCACCAAGAGGATTCTGTGCTCTCACTTGACTCAGCCTTGTCAATATTGTTCTTATTATCTACTCTGTATCTGCATTTTTCTGGCTAAATAAACTGTTTCAATATCAATTTCACCTAATAATTAACCTTACCTAAATTAATCTATATTAATCTAACCAAACCTAACTTAATCTATCCTAATCTAGTCTAGCCTAACCTAACCTAACTTAATCAATCCTAATTTAACCTAACTTAACCATAACCTATGATAAAAATATCGATGACTTACTTGTACCCATCTTTGGTCGCGTTCCTGAGCTGCTCGACGGCTACAGGTACAAGGTGATCAGGAGAGAGAGAGAGAGAGAGAGAGATAAGTATAATAAGTTATCATATAAGACAATCACCTCTATAACAGTACAACTCTAAAAATACTGACAGAAATTTTATAATTTGTAAAAAATATCTACCTCATGTTACCAAATAATTCATAAATTCAACTAATATTATGTGATCTTTTTGGACATATTTCTAAGATACTGTAATGCCAAATTTTTTATGATTTATAAAATAGATCTAACTTCAAAAATAGTAATACAGTAACTGCTGTATCTTCATGAATATTACATACATAATGTTACAAAAAAATTCATAAAATCAATAGTATATGATCTTTAAGACAAGTTTTTGTAAGGTAATTCTTTGATATTTTCATGATTTCAAAAACAATCTACTGTATCTTCATAAGAGTACTGTACTGTTGTACTCTCATGCATATTATATTTTGTACAGTACAGGATATTACAAAAAAATTCATAAAATCAACAAGTATCGTCTGATCTTTTAAATATACATCTAAGGTAATGTTTTTCTCTTGTGAGGTAAACTTTAGCACAGTAATTTAAATATACTGTATTGCGACAACTCGACGGTTAATTTGTATGATTAATTCAGACTTCGACGATATCACATTAGTAGTATTGTAGAAGAGAGGAATCAGCGTGTATATTTAATCCCACTGTTAAAAGATATTAATTTAATTATATATACGTACAGTATAACCAGAATGAAACATTTTCAGATGAATTAAAATGAGAGTTTGTGTGAAGTATTATGACAAATATATACAGTATTTATAATCTCTATAAAAACACTATATGATGATTATATCTAGTTTATAAAGGTTATACTGTAGTACAGTAGCATTATACAGGGACCTTTTTTATTGTTTTTATTATTCAAGAATCCTAAATGATTACTACTTTATTTTAGGACGTGCAATACTATACAGGCACAGTTGCCTCTGGGAGTGTGTGAGGGCTTGGCTACAAGATGTGGCAATGCAGCGTCATAGTCACAGCTGAACAAATGGGCGTGAAACAGTGAAATTCTCCTGTTTGGATGGCCACATAATAATGCTGAAGAACACTTATCACATGGATGCTGTACTGTATTTTTTTATGTTATGCAGCAATATTGTGTAGCCACGACCAAGTTACTAGGACTGAAGTACAGGACCCAGGAATCAGGGTAGTCCATGGTTTCATACACATGACTACAGCATTGTGTTGCCACATCTTGTGCCTCAGCCCTCACATACTCCCAGGCCACAGTATGTCCATGTGGAGGCAACTGTATCTAAATATCAGTAGGAATAAAGTTTAACCTAACCTAATTTTGCCTAACTTAACCTAAATAATTACAGTACTAAATTTTAGGATGTGCAATAAACAGGAACCTAAAAATCAGTAGGAATAAAGTTTAACTTAATCTTACCTACACAAAACTAACCTAAAATGATATCATTAATATTCTTCACAGAGATCAGAGTTTATTCCTACTGATTTTTACGTCCCTGTCTATCGCACATCCTTAAATAATTATAATCGTCTAAAGTCCTCGAATAGTAAATGAAGTGTTTTTGAAAAATATAACCACCAAAATAAGAGTAATGGCTTCAGTAGCCCACGGACACTAGATGGGATTTTACGTACAGAACCAGTAATTGATACTATTATTCCCCCAGTAGCTGGAGCCACAGCCAGTGAAGGTCAATATTGACACAATGCAAACATCACCAGCCACAAGAGTTCCAAAACTACCCAGCAATGTTTAGACTGGAGGAGGGGGCAGGCCTTCACTTCCCGTGGGGGGGTGGTAGCAATTACTTTTTCTGACTGTACATATATTGAGGCAACATGACTGGGGGGCACTGCAGTCTTATTGCTGAAAATCTGGAGGAAAAAACTAATAATCCACCGACATTCTAAAAATTCACGCAGGATTTAAAAAACAGGCTGATCAGTGGGACTAAACTGACTCAGAGACATTGTGTGTATGTGTGTGTGTGTGTGTAGCCATCTATTGGCTTGTGACAGTTTGAGTCAATCACAAAGACACACACACACACACACACACGGGCTGATTGATCCACCACTGAAAAACAAACGTACACTTAAAGAACAACTTGGGACAGATCATAGAAAAAAAGAATCAATTCAACACTTGCATAGGATCACTGAAGGACAAACGGTTAAAAGGAGAATGATGATGACTTCTCCTCTCTCTCTGCTGAATCAAACTCAGCCCAGACACCAAAGTCCAAAATCTTCAACCCTGTGAGACCTCCATATATTATAACTAACTTCTCTCTGTTAGATGAAAGGCTTCACATCTAATGGAACATCGATATAACCGACTTTTATTTCTATATAGTTTGCTAGATGACGGGTTTCATACCTAAGAAACCTTCGATATAATGGAATTTTCTCTCTAAGTAATCCATTAAATAGAGATTTCGCTAACAAACACTAATGGACTAACTTGCATTGACTATATACTTACTACATGACTCATTCACAATGGAGTACTGAATATTCTTAACCAAACAGAGGAATCTATATTAACATCAATAACAAGCACCACAACAATGCTAGCACAATCGTCGTAAACTGCGAAAAAGTTCCATCTGTTAAAAGTTCAGGATGTGTTTGTGGTAAACCTCGAATATTAGCGAGGGATTACTGTACAGTCACCCACAAGAGTCCTGTCGCTTCTCCTCCTGAACCATGAACCTCGAGATTCAGACTTATGAATCTGAAGCATTTGGGGACAGAATAATACACCTGAGTCTAATGCTACAAGTTGATGAGTCTGAATCTTGGGGTTCGTGGTTCAGGAGGAGAGGCGACAGGACTTTCGTGGGTGACTGTACATCTTAAAACATAGAAGCTGGATCAACATACTTATGGTCCAACCGTTCCATCCAATAGTCGTAAAAATAATAAGAAACACAACTACATAATCCCTTAAGCAAAACACATATAATAACAGTCGTAGAACAGGTACTAGTAGGGCTCGTAATATGCCCCCAATGTTCATGCAGTCACTGATGCCATGCACTTCTGTAGTGGGGTGAGGTGTGTGTGTGTGCACATCTCCGAGCCAGTTCAGTCATCATGCACTTTCCTGCGTGTACTCACTGAAGGGGACAGAGTGGGTTGTTGTTAGTGGCATTGCTGTCATTGTTATCTGGTGGGGTGAGGGGGGAGGAGCTGTTAGTGCCGTTGGTATACCTGGGCGCCGTGTCATCCCGGCTCAGGTAGTTAGCATTGCGTGAGTCGTACTCGTAATCGACATTGTGAGTGCATGATGATGATTCGGGAGAGCGTATATACCCGCGGGTGTCTGCCGAAGGGTCCGCCTCGGTGACCACTTGACTGCTCCGACGAGAGGGGCTCTGAAACATCAAAGAAAAAAAGAAGAAAAAATTTAATAATGTAATTGTTAGTCAAATGATCTAAAATTATATGTAGACTAAGAGATACTGTATCAATGAGGTCAATTAATAATAATAAAAATTAAACAATTTCTGTACAGTAAAGTTGCTGGCTGTTATATAGGAAGAAACTGTACCTCCTCTCCTTCCCATAGCCACACCCAGACCCACATACAAACAAGAATTGCAGAAAGACTAAAATGAAGACGGTCTGATCCTGCAGTATAAGTCATGTAGAAAGACTGAAGAGCTAAAGATTGGTAGAGAGGTTTTCGCATCTAACGGGACCCTCTATATAATGGACTTGCCTCTCCATATAGTCCGTTATATAGAGGTTTCACTGTCCAGCATAATAATTCAATACAATATTAATTATCATTGGTAACATTGCACACACATTACACACAGGAGTCAGACACCCACTTGCCATCCATAGCAGTATACTGTGTGCAGCATATAGGGCCAGGAGGATCTACCTACCTCTGTTAAAGGGATATATCTAGTGTGTGTGTGTGTGTGTGTAAGTACAGTGTATGTATGTATGTATATAGGCCTAAAAAATATTAAGTCAAGCCAACTCCTGGACCCCTGACATATATCCTCAAACTTTTTGCCTATTTTTGCTAGCCCTGGTTCCCAAAGCCGGCCTTTTCAACAAGCTTTGAGTTTTATCTATTAGCGTCTAATTTATTTTTTTGTTTTACAAAAGTTCTGTTATTTGTTACTTTTGTTTTTACCTTCCATTATTTGATTATAGTCTTTTTAAGTCTTTATTTTAAGTAGGTGACATATAACCTAAGCTGTTGCGTCGCCAGGGATGTAATTACCACAATCAAACAACCAAAGATCCATGATACTGTACCCCCAAGGAGACATCTGGTGACATTAACCTAAAGACACTAATAATTTGTTGTCATGCTTGGTCTCTGTACTGCATCAAACATCACAACACATTTCCACTTAAAAATATTTTTTTTCGTAGAACTAAGATGCGAATCGTGGCAAAAACAAAAACATAATTGTGTGATAATTTTTATAAATTAGGGCTAATGCAATTGCCTCAGAGCCCCAATTACCTTAAATTCCCATGGAATCAGGGTACTGTACTACTTATAAGGCAAGAGATGAAGGTGGCAGTGCATGCGATGGGGGGTGAGGGAGGGGTTTCGACAATTGCAATTAAATGTCAGGTAGCGATGTGTCCTAATATTACTTATTAAGTAATTATTAGATGTTTTAATTGCCTGCATGTTGGCCTGGCGAATTATTGCTAGGCATTAACATACCTAGGTTAAAGCTAAGCGTCACATTCTGGGTCATATAACAAAAACTAGTTTCTAGAAAAAAACGGCTTTTTTAACACCTATCTGCAACTGTTCTTTAATCTTATATCCCAACGGTGGCATTTTACACTTTTCCCACATCACTCAAGTCAATATCTTACAGTACAGTACAGTAATTGGAAGTCGATACAGTGGTCACTCGGTTAACGAGTTACCTTCCATAAGATTCTTAACTTCGGTTAACGAGCAATCCCTCGATTAACGAGTTTCTTACGAGCCGACCTCAACATGTTTTTGCTTGCATTTGGCGGTCCACCAGCTGTAGTATTAGTCTGCCAATACAGTAATTGGTTCTAGGGCTTATATTCCTTACCATTTTAGTAAATATCAAGAAGTTTATACTATTCAATAATTTTAAAAGTTTAATATTAAATTTTTTTAGTCATTTTAACAATTATTGAACATAATTGAAGGTAAGGAAACTAGTTTCATGCGCGCCATCCAGCCTGTGAACACACCAAACAGGCGTCAGTCTCTCTCTCTTTTCAGTGGAGGTAACATCTTGCTTGAGACTCTCTTCAACTTAACGCTTTTCTCTGTCTCTGCAAGCAAATTATTGGTCATTTTGAAATTTATTTTACATATTGACAATATATAATGCAGTGCAATGTTGATTTAAAGAAAATAATCTTGAATTACACCAAGAGAACTAAAATTTTATGGGTGAGATGGAACCATGGGGTGAGTTCTCTTCCACCCCAATGCCTTCTCTTCTCCCTTCTCCTCCACCCCCATTCTAATTCCCATCATCATCATCAAGGAGCCTTCTACATACACACCTCAAAGTAAGTGTACTTTTCTACCTTTTTTGTTGAATTTAGGCAATTTTCGGTGAGCTGGAACCAATTACCCAAAAACCCATTGAAAAATGGTTTCGGTTAACGAGCAACCTTCTAGAACGGATTTTGCTCGTTAACCGAGGGACCACTGTATATGTTTTAGGTTCACGTGTCCAACGACAAAAAACATGCAAATTCTTATATACGGTTAGGTTAGGATAGGAATAATAAAGCATTCATTAAGTACAGTAGTAATCTGTACGATCTCTAGATTTTAAGTTAAAAAAAAACTTAAGCAGGAAAATGTCTCAATACCTAAAGGGTTATACAAGACAGTCCCTGAGTTATGTTTCTGGAGGACCCTGTTCGTGAGTCTCAATCTGTTTGTAATGTCAGCAGTGTTAATTCCATAAGTTATGTTAGGTTAAAACACAACCCTGCCCTCCATACTAAATAACAATATCTCATACATAATAAAAAAAGATTAAATGAAAGTACAGTATAAGGTTTTAGTGATGATTATACAATACTGTACTGGGATCACGTTCGTAAGTGCGAGCGTTTGTAAGTTGGGTGTTCGTAATTGCGGGCATCCTTAAGTGTGGGTGTTCATAACGTGGGGACTGTCTGTATAAGAACTATGCTGGTATGCTGATAAAAGCCATTAATAGACAAATGACTTAAATACAAGAGTTGTGAGTGCTAATTAAGACAAAAAAGAAAGAAAAGTACATGACCTAGAATGCTTTTTCAATTCACTTTATATTATAAGTTTTCTTATAACACTTAAAAAAATGGCCATATTGTATATTTCCGACACTCGCACACACTAAATATAACTATTTCTTCAACAATATTCCTGGTAAAATATTTACTCGATTATCCAGCGGGTGAAGAGTGTAGAAAAACAATAAAAATAAGGTTAGTTGCACACAAAGCTCAAAGAATGAAAAGTTAATAAGCTTGATAGAGTAGAGACGACCTCAGACTGTTGTTTTAGTGGAAGACGTAATGCAGCAGCAGTAGCACCAGTAGCAGCACCAAGAAAGCACCATGAACGCTGTGGCAGTGGTGGTGTCTCCGTAGAGGAGTTAGTAGTTGTAGTAGTGGTAAGGGTGTCCGACCTGTGTGGTGGAGGAGGCGTAGGAATCCCGACGCAGTCTCTCTGCTGCGTGGTGGGAGTCTGCCGCTGATGATGGATCTGCTCGGTAGTAAAGACCATTGGTGGTGTTACTGTTGTTGCTGCTGCCACTGTGATATCCACTTGAAGCCTGTTCATTTACATCACTCTTTGGTAACTAATCAAAAGATATTAAAGAAAACCCTACATACAGTATATTGATAAACAAATATAGTACTGTACCTTCATACAGTAACATAAAGCATTGTGGCAGCGCTACTGTACCGTACATTTTTCCCAATGAGAGTTTTCCAGTACACTACCTCAGACTTTTATTCACACAACCAAATCGGAAATGTACAGGGTGGACTGTACAGACTATGCACTGTACACACAACAAGCACCACAGCTCTTCAGAAATATTAATCCTAAACTATGTACAGTACAGTCAACCAAAATACTATCTGTACTTGGGGAGGGGAGCTCGATGAATTTCAGAATGAACGCCACGACTCCTGTTGTTTCAGTCGGGTTGTCAAAATCCTTCTTCATCAGTTATGTCATATTGTCTAAACTCTTAACACAATTTTGTAAGGATAGTTTTTGACTGACTGTACAAATAATAGGAAACCTCACTCCCAATAAATAAATAAATATATACTGTATATATAATCATGAGTCCTCACTTGCCAGGACTCAAACCCTCGACCTCTGTGTGTGACCAGGAATCGCTACCACCTTCCTGGTTACACGCAGAGGTCAAAAGTTTGAGTCCTGGCTAGTGAGGTGTTGATTGTATGTTGAAGTTCGAGTGATATATATATATATATATATATATATATACAGTATAAGGGAAAAGCAAACAGGCAGGATGGAGTGGTGTACCAAAGCAACAGAGAAACTCCGCATGTCAACCAGTACTAAAGTCCATTCGCCTCTCCTCCTGAACCACCAACTTTGAAGAAGAAAAAATATATTTCTTGGTTTGTCTAATGAGAGTTGATGTTAAACCCAAAGGACAGGCAAATAGAGACATGGACAGGCAGCAGACAGACAGAGACAGAGTAACCTTATAGCACCAGATGGAATACCCATTATATTGAGGTTTCACATCTTATGAGCCTCAATATAATGGACTGTAGTACTCTACTGTACTATACTGTTAGTCAGTTATATGGAGGTCTCACATTTAACAAACCTCGATAAAACGGACTACATATCCCACATATATGTATATGTATGTATGTATATATATATATATATATATATATATATATATATATATATATATATATATATATATATATATATATATATATATATATATATATATAATCTGTTAAATAGAAGTAAAAAAAAACTCAATCCACATTTAAACTTTTAGGGAAGTTAATGACCCTCTGAATCGTTCAAAATATTTTAAACAATTTTGAAGCTTGAAGACAGTCGTATGATTAATGACATGGCTTATAAAATGGAATCATACTGTGTAAACATTTCCATCAACAGAAAAAATAATAACATTATACACTGCGTACAACTCTGCTGACCACTAATTTTGGGTGGCCGAAAAGTTCATCTCAATATACTACAGTAAAGGTATTTCTCTATGTGCAGATTAAAGATTTGAAGCCAAAAAGACAAAATTCTGATAATTAAGTGTTCTCCTGGTAATTAGGATAATTATCAAAATTTCATATTCCAAGAACTCTTAAGAGAATTAATTAAAAAAATTTCAGCATTTCGACCACAGATCCTGATTCAGCATGTCAAGGATGACCTATACTGTACAGTGTACTGAGATTTTGAGCAAAATAATTTCTTTTTAACCTGAAAAAATTCAAGAGGTATGTATTGTACTGTACAGATGGCATCTTTCACTTTTAAGGTTGAGAAACGTGTAAATATACATAATGTTCGATTAATATTGATATATTACAAATAAATTCATATATAACTGTTAACGATGCCCAACTCTGGCTCATTTTAATACAAATTTAATGTACAATAGACCCTTGCCATTTGGGAGGGATAGGTTCCAAGAAATGGGGCAAATTGGCAAAACCGCAAATGACAACTTATACAGTACTACCTTAGTGCACTACTGTATACCTATACCAAACAACTGACCAGCCATGGCAGCACTCATCCCCTCTTTTAACTTATCTAATAATAAAACTTTCTTTGTCAGGGTCATCACTGACTTCTGCCTTTTACATTTCACTCCACTAGCATCACTAGCACTGACACTAGGCAGTCTTTTAGGGGCTATTTCACACAGAAACACTAAAGTTTTGAGAGTACAACACGAGATGCTGTGTGGGGTGACTCGTGCTGCGGGAAAAGGCTTGCAAGCTAGCCACCATAGCCACCATCTGCTTACAGCGAATCGACAAAATTGCGAATGGCAAGGGTCTACTGTATGTAAAGATATAGCGGCCTGAAAACATTAACTTTCAAGATATGAGCGAAAAAAGTTGAAACAGAGTATTTGTCGCCGAAGTCGCAAGCAAATTCATGCTTTCGGAGAAGGGGAGAAAAGGCCTCTTAGCCTAGTACCATCAGCTAGAAAAACAAAAAACGACTATAGGTCACAACTCAATTGCCTACAGTACAAGTCCCTTTTATCCCATTACACTTCATGCATAATCAACCCTGCAGTGCAACATGCTTGTATGTCACCACTAAATTGTTATTAAGTACTCTTTAAAACATCACATATACACACAAAACCAATAAATTTGTGGGTTTAGTATTAGTTACAGCTAAAAGTGGCAATGATAACTCTTGTAACAGCAGCCTTTACAGACAGAAAACTAATTCTTCCCAGATTTTATGGTTTGTGAGGGCAACTTTGTAACCAGCAACGTGCTAGAAAGCTCTTAACAACAAACGCATACACAAAACTAATAAACTCGTGGGTTTAGGATTAGTTTTAACTGAAGGTGATGGTGGTGATTCTTGCAGCAGTAGCAACAGTCTTGACAGAAAACTAATTCTCCCAGATTTCATGATTTGTGAAGGCAACTTTGTCACCACCAATGTGTTAGTAAGCTCTTAACATCACACACATACACAAAACCAATAAATTTGTGGCTTTAGTATTAGTTTCAGCTAAGGGAGGTGGAGATGGTGATTCTTGCAGCAGCCTTGACAGACAGAAAACTAATTCTTCCAGATTTTATGGTTTGTGAAGCCAAGTATTGTACAAGCCTCCATATGTGTAGGTGGGTGTCGCCTCCTCATTGGCCCTCACCTGCGAGTTGGTGGGGAGGAACCTTCTAGTATACTGGCTGTTGTCTACAGCAGAAGAAGAGCTGTTACACTCCTGATGGTGTCTCAGTTGACTTGTTGCTGTTCTTCTGCCTCCTCCATAATGGTGTTGCTGTAATGTATCATCTGCCAGTGTATAGCTACTAACTTACTAAACCTTTCAATACTACACCAGTTGCACCTTGACTGACCATCTCCCACAGTCAGTCACTCATAACAAGTTTCTATACCAACTGAGTTGTTCATAACAAGTATTTAATTCCTTCATTGTTTTTTCCCTCCACAGTGTTAGATGATGATGACATTATTTGAACCTGCTACCCATAGAGTTTATACCAAACCTTAGATAAATAAGCCTGTTAGATATACTGTACACAATGATTAAAGGTTACCTCTCTTAGTCTGTTTCATAAATATTATACACCGTACATTATGCTACCAGGATTATACCGAATATCACCAAATAAAAACTTTGCCATACTTCTAAGTTAATTGTCTTTACAGGGGTATATACAGTGAAATCTCTATGTAATGGACTTCTCTCTCCATATAATTCATTAGATTGGGGTTTCACAGAACGAACCGTCGATGTAATGGACTGTCATCTCTGAATAGTCAGTTAAATAGAGGTTCAACGGTACAAACCATGTTCTATAATAAGGTTATGTTCATGTTCCTTATACTATATACTGCACTCAAATGGATGCCATATACTGTACAGGTGATCTACACACAAAGATTAATATATAATGGATCCCTCATCGTGAAATTACAATCAATTCCTCATAAACTAGTAGGTACCACACTTTGTTTCACTTATTCGACTATCACGTACTGTAACATTTATCAAATAATAATAAAAAAGCAATACATGTAGTCTGATTTTAATAATTTCTGCCACTTATCAGCTTACTAGCCCTTTGGGTGGTGAGTTTACCCAGTGTTAGTACAGGAGGAAACAGGAATCTGGGAAACCTGTGATGATGTTTGGTGGTGAGGGTCACAGTCTTCTCAAGTGTGTCCGGGCCAAACACGACTCTAACCCTTGACATATTATTGGTGAGAGATATAGTGTACACATTACCACCGTACCACCAACACTGTATCATCACCATCACTCAACAGTTACTGACTAGGTCTCTCTAATATCATCAACTAATATTATGTAGTCACTTTAACTTAATGTATGACAATAATAGGATGTCTGCGATATTTTAAATTAATAAATAAGTTAACAGCTGCTACAGAGGACACGGCTATGCAAAATTCAAAATAGTTAAGCGTTTAAATTCGTAAGATCACTATTTTCAGAACTGTTGCACGGACTACTAGAAATGAAGAGAGAGTTTTGCAATTAATTAGCAACAAAAGGAAAAAGTGGCAGAAAATTTAACCCTTTGAAGACGATGAATTAACCTATGAAGACTCAAAGGGTTAAAATGTATGCATATAAATCAATTTACTTAACCGTCCGACAGTTTTATCAAGCGTGCCGTGTGTAAATAAACAAAAACTATGCAGAACTAAAAACTTCAAGGCGATGAACAAATAAACGTGGAAACAGACCCATCGGTTGTCACATCTCGGTCACTTTAAATAAATCTATGCATATATAGTAAACACACCTGCGGTGATGATCCTTGGTTGGAATGTTGGGACATTTGTGAAATTCTGCGCTCGGGGTCGGTGGCCACGTAATGGTTGTTGTAGCCCGAGCGTCGGGTGATGACCGGCTGCTCGTCGTCTTCGTAGACAGCCTGAGAGTATTCATAGTCATCATCCAAGGACTGCCCATAGACATCCTGTAACATCGCAGTACAGTAATCTAAAAACATGTCAAACCCAAACTTGTGAAATATACTTAGAAAGGATTCATTCTGTATATTATTTCTTCTGGCCAGTGAAAAAAATTTACAAGTTTTTGGTATACAATTTCTTTACTTTATTTGTTCACTTATATACGTAACAAGATATAACTTTAAATAGCTATAAACATTGAAGGATAAAACAATAAACAAGAAAAGATTAATTCACTGCATCTCTGTGCTTGAAAAAACAACTATTAATTGGTGGCACAAGAATGTTGGTAATCTAAAGATATACACAAGTTTAAGGTCTAACATAAATGTGAGAAAGTAACGTAAATCTCAGGTTAAAAAGCCATAACTATGTCTAGCCTGTGGACATGCAATTGTGAGTGAGTGACAACATCCCTCATGAAGAAAGGAAAAAGCAAAAAAAAAAAGAGATCCCAAAACCCCGTTGGTCTAAAACTCAAACAGAAGTGAGAAAAGAAATCGTTACAAACAGGAAACTAACCGATTAATAAATAACAAAAACTCTCCAACATGCAACAAAGAATTCTATAGAAACAAAAACAAATTAGGGGAAAGACTCTTCAAATAAGAGATACAGCAACAGTGAACTAAAAGATTGCAATACTTTAGTGAATTTTTCCCATGTAGAAAATGATTAAAATGATCAATAACAAATAAACTACAAAATTTAGTTAAGTTATAACAAGGAGATGATGAAATGCTGCAGCAGCCAAAAAAAAAAATAATAATAATGCATTGTAAATATATAATAGTTAATAATGTAGCACTGTGAATATTTTTGCCTATTTAACTGCACAGTCAAAATACATATTGTACTGTACTTTTGTGTAGCCTTTTTTATCATTCTAATTAATTCTGTATTTGTGAGCAACTTACCGGTTTAGATTCAACTGGTGTTTTTGATAAGTAGTAATTTTAAGTACTACTAAAAATAATAAGATATCATTAAGTGCTTTGTCAAATGTGCAACTAATAACGGTCAAATAAAAGCTTATGCTATTATGCCTCTATCTATCACTTAACAAATGCCACTCTTTTAGATATCATGCATATATAACAGATGAACATTAAACATAAATAAACCAAAAAGTGTTCTAATCCACTGAACTATGTTTTGTACTCTGGTGCAACAGATGAACAACCTCAAATACATATCTCACGTAACAGATGATGATATGTTCAAAATATTGTCTTTATAAAATATACTGTCATGAGGTTCTACTGCATTTAAGCAAGGGTTGTGTGTTTGGTTAGGTAGCGACTTTATGTGTGTGTGCACGTGTGTTTTGTTAGGTAGGATCTGTGTGTACGTCTGTGTACCACTTGGCTGGGGAGAGCTCTATCATTCAGAGCATGCACTTGGTCTGGGGAAACTCAAGGAGCATTTACGGACAGAATAATTTATCAGTCTACTGCTTGGGGTTCATGAGTCAGAATCTCTCGGGGATTCATGGTTCAGGGGGAGAAGTGACTGTACTGTACACTGCTCCCTTACAGAGGTTATATACTGTATATATATATATATATAAACAACCCCACCAGTGACTTGTCTTAGTGATTACCGTAATCCCTTCACTGTTGTTTCTACACTGTATTGTAGTATCAGCAAAGATGGCCAGGCTGGATCGCGATTATGTCAGTCCTGCGCGTGTGTGTGTGTGTGTGTGTGTGTGTGTGTAACCTCTTGCCCTTTCTAGTGAAGGCTTGGAAACACATAAATACAGTGATACCTCTTTTTAACGGATTTTCCTCTCTGCATAGTCTGTTAAATCGAGGTTTCACTGTACTCAATGGCGACTTCATTATGCTGATGATGAGATAAAAGTTTTAAATAACTTTGACCTATGAAGAAATGTAACATTAGTCATAGTAATTACTGTATATACCTGTACAGTGGTCCCTCGGTTAACAAACGCCTCGGTTAACGAATTACCTTCCATAAGAATATTCAATTTGGTTAACGAAATTCTTACGAAAATGTTTCGACATGCTTTGGCTTGCTCACCAGCTGGAAGATTAGTCCACCAATACAGAAACCGGTTCTAGGGATTACATTCGTTCCCATTTGAGTAAATATCAAGAAGGTTGTACTATTCATTAATTTTCCAAGTTTTATATTAAAATTTTTAGTCATTTTAACACTTATTTAACATAATTGCAGTACAGGGAACTAGTTTTTGGTGCGCCCAACAGCCACTTCACTCACCCACCGAGGCCTCAGTTTGTATCTCTGTTCAGTGGAGGAAACATCTTGCTTGTGGGTCTCTTGAACACAGAGTATTTTTACGTTTTTACAGTACAATTATTTGTCATTCTGAAATTTATTTAACATATTGACAATATATATAGTGCAGTGCAGTGTTGATTTAAAGAACATAATCTTGAATTACACCTAGTGAACTTAAAATTTTATGGGTGAAATGACGGCATGAAGCATGGGGTGATTTCTCTTCCACCCCACTTCCTTCTCTTCTCCCTTCTCCACCCCCACTTCTAATTCCCATCATCATCATCATCAACCAGGAGCCTTCTACATACACACCTCAAAGTAAGTGTACTTTACTGCATTTATTTTTTTTACTTTGTATGTAATTTTCGGTGAGCTGGAACCAATTACCCAAAATTCCATTGAAACAATGGTTTCGGTTAACGAACGACCTTCTGGAATTAATTGTGTTCGTTAACCGAGGGACCACTGTATTCTAATGCTAAAATCCCGTGGAAAATCAATAAAAGATTAGGATACATTAAAAGTAAGCACAATACAGGTAGTACTCACCATTTTAAATCAGGGTTAGCTAGCCATCACTTCTATAATGTCGATTAAAACCATCTTTCTTCCCCTAATGACAGAATTTGTAAGTACTGTACTGTACTGTATGGTTACATACCACAATTTCCTGCCATATGTACTGCACTGGACTGTACCCTCATGAAGTAATTCATCAGTAGGACTTTCTCTTACAGTGCCGGCAAATTGTTCTCCGAGTAAATGTGACTCTCTCTCTCTCTCTCTATCTCTTAGGGTATCGGCAAATTGTTTTCCCGAGTAAATTCATTATTTTAACATATTAATACTGTACAGATCTATCATTACTATAGTACTGTACAATGCTTGTCTCTCATTCACATCCCTTGGCCATCACATAATAACACACAACTGATGAGATATTCAGTGCGATTTTTCCTATATTATTCTGAAAATACATAGACTAGTGTTGTCAATTTGAAGCTAATACTCATTACAACACTATATGATCAGATTTAATTTTTCTTATACTGAATTACGAAAAAAATTGTGTGTTTATGAATATCAATAAATACATTTTAGGTACAGCAACTTCTTCCGAATAAAATGGTTCTCAATGATCTGTGAAGTGAAAAATTATGTGTGTTGTTGGCCAGCAAATAATTAACCGTGTGCTGCTGTAATTCACATGCCTTAAGTTTAAGTTTTTTCATACTCGGACTGCTATAGGTTAATGGATTCTGGTACTTAAAAATGTCTCAAAATTTTGATTAAAGTTCACAATATATATACAGTACTGTATATATATATAGTATCCTTTAGACCAAATTATATCAGGTCATACAGTATAATAATACTGTACTAACTAATCTGTATCTGCTTCATAGTGACTCTATCTAACTTTTTAAAAAATAATTTTCGCCACTATCAACATACTAGCCGTTCAGGCGGTTGGTCTATCCAGTGTTAGTACAGGAGGAAAACGGGAATTGGAAAACTCTCCTCTTGCCTTCAGTATACGTATAAAATTCTCTTTTATCCATTGCATTGTATCCCATTGTCCTCGCCATTCATAATTACATGCGTATAATTCTGAATGTCAATTTCTTTCCAGTGCGAGAAATTTACGTAAAAAAACAAAAACAAAGATTCCTGAAATCATAACCATAGATATATATATATTAAGGGAACACATCTTCTCCATGCTCTGAACTACACAAGACATGACTTGTAAAATATAGTATTGTACAGTGAAAGTTCCATATAACAGACTTCTATCTTCACGTAATAGTCTGTTAGGGGGGGGGTCTCACATCCAACGGACCCGTGGACCCTCGATATAATGACATTTCATAACTATATGTATAGTTCGTTATGTGGAGGTATGACATTTAATAGACACCTTGGTATAATGGAACTATCATATCCAAATACTGTACACTAGTCCATTATATAGAAGCTTCACTGTACTGTATAGTATTTCAAGAACCAAAATAAAAATATATTCTAGACAAATAATAAAGAAGTGATGGGGAGGAAGGGAAGGAGGAAAGTAAAATGAAGACCAGGAGTGGGTGGGAAAGGGAAGAGGAGGGAGAGACTGAAGGTGAGAGGTAGAGGTGGGAGCAGGTACAGTATACATGTTCCATCCAGATTATGTAAATATAAACCAAAAAGTAAAGTCAGTAGCCAATGGCATCCTCTCCCCACCTGATGGTTGGATCGTGTTGGTGTTGTGGTCTGTGAAAAGCGTCTCTCAGAGGACGGAGGAGAACAGTCGGACAAGCTGCTGCCGCCCCCGGACTCGCTACGTACGGACTCTCCCATGCTGCTGGATCGTGGCAGTTCTCGCTCGTCGCCGCTGAAAAGGGTAAAAAAATAATACTGTACAGTGAAACATTGATTTAATGGACTATATGGAGAGAGGAAAATCAGTTATATCGAGGGTCTGTCACATGTGAACCTCACCCATCCCACAGATTATAAGTAGAGAGAAGTACGTTATATGGAGGTTTCATTGTACCTAAATTCTAGTTCAAATATATTTTATGGTTTATATCACACTACAGTACGTTTAAAGGAACATACCGTGATCCTTCCGTGGAAGGAAGAGGGACACCACACACCATAGCTTTCTGCACCTCCTCCGAGTCCACGGCAACATTGTCCAACTTCTGCAGGTGAGGCAGGGCCCGTAACACCGTCAGACGATACCTGTTTACCAAGAAACAAAAATTCGTTACCTGCAGTCAGCTACCAAAGTCTTGTTGTTCGCCCCTCCCCCTCAACCATGAACCCCGAAGAGATTCACAACTCGTAAATCCAAGGCATTTATGGACAACATAATGTTTTATCAGTCTATTGCTGCTTCAGGTTCATGAGTCTGAATCTCAGGGCTTGAAGGTTAGGTTAGGTTAGGAGGGGAGTGGATTATTCCCAAAAGCTTTATTATAATACTCATTATTCAGACTCAGCACATGGATTATCAGTCAACAACAGACACTTAAGGTTAGGTTATATTAGATTAGGATAAGTTAGGATAGGATATGTTGATAGATTACATTAGGATAAATTAGGCTAGGTTAGTTTAGGATAGGAAGGAAGAGGATTAATCCCCAAAACTTTTCATCATCACACTCACTGTTCAAAATCAGCACATGGATTATCGGCCAACCACAGACTCTTCAATTTGGGAAGCTGACGCAGATACAAAATCTCGTTGATGTCCGAGATAATATTTTTACGGATGTACAACTCTTGGAGGTTGGGGCAGTACTGAAAGTCGGCTAATGTGCAGATGCGGTTCACGCTGAAACAAATAAAAATAAAATTAGAGTTAAAACAAGTATCACACAATCATTATCATACTGTATACTAGAAATCTTGCAGCTGACAGCTTTAACAACATTCCTTGGTCAAGTTGCCTTACTGTTTACCTGCAGCACTGTCTCGGCACACAGGCAACCCACGGTCTACCTACACCGTCTATATTTATGCTGAACTGTATACCAGCATAGTTTAGAAACATGCTTATCCAATTGTAAACCTGTATGATAACTTTGTTGAATAAATATTATAGGTACATATTACTATTATTATTTTATCAAACATTATGACGCTTTATTTCTTATGATAAGATAAATACAGTACACACAACTGTACCATACTCACCTCAGAGACAAAACCTCAACATTCTGTAACTTCCTGACAACAGAAACGTCCGACAGTTCGCTGCCCCTGAAAAACAAATTTGGCGACAAGCGTAACAAATTATTGAAATATTACCCACAAATGAACTGAGACAAATGCATGAATAATGAAGCCATACAGGTAGTACACGAGTTATGAAATGGTTACGTTCCTGGACCGTCCATAAGCTACGGAATCAGTACCAGGTTTCAAAATCACCCTAAAAAAAAATATCAAAAGTAATATCCATTGGGTAACTAAAGTAAGGTAAATATCTGAAAATACCGGATAAATAACACATCCTTAATTTTCTACATTACCATTAGAATAAACCCCATTAGAAAGGATACCCATTAACCTTAACATATATAAATATTATACAGCCTATTATTATACCATATTATGAATTACAGACTTAAAACAACGTGAAATAAAAAAACTACAGATGAAGTTTACTAAAGACTCGAGAGGAATGAATGACTCAGACCAAGCTACCCTACACCTGTCTAGTTAATCCTTTATTTAACACCTACTTACGTCTCTCCTCGCTATACTTACCAGCAATTTAGTTTTCTGACATTATATAGATCCGATCCTTTTGACCTGGCCACCACCATATCTTCTGTTAGTTTAACCATCTTGATAACAGTGTTGATGAAGGAGTCTCTCAGTGGTGTCCCCAGTCTGCCATAACACCTGAGGCGACACATGGGTCATCTTTATTTGGTCTCATTAATAAACATCTGTCATAAAATACTTTAACATAGTTTTATTTATTAGAATAGTGTAATTAATAGTATTTTTATAGATGAAATCCTTAATTAATGAGTTGTTAATATAATGTTAATCCTATTATATATAGTATAAAAAAGATTACATCCCTTCCCAAAACATATGTTGGTACTGTAATATATTATTTTTATAATTCTATGTTTAAAAAAAATAGTATAAAATATCCCCAAATTATACATAAATAACACATTAGGAATTTATATTACATACCAAAATATGTTATAGTTTTAGCCCAGTTCCCTCCCGTCATATTTGGGCGAAATAAAATGAAACATTTAAATCATTTCCAGACAAATACATCACTAATATTCCCTATTTCTCAAGAATTTACATCGGTCTATACATATTATTAATAACTTTATATATAATTAATTAAAATATACTATGAAAGGTATATATTGATGGTAGTATAGTGGTATAATAAGAAATAAATCGAAAATAAAGTGCACACATGGGCGGTGTGAAGGCTGGGCATGTATACCATAATTGGTGTACATGGAAGACCTTCAACAAAAAAGAAAGTGCTTCAGTTCATAATGGTGGTGTTTGGGTGAGTTTTGGTTTGCTTCACTTCCTACTCAACATACAGGGAAAGGACCTATACAACAAACCTCCTAATGACTGTTATTGAGAATACTATCCCAGACTAATTCTTACAAGTACTATATACACCATTGAGAGGATTCAATTGTTTGATAATATCTGCTACGAGAAATCCGGTATTGAGGGGGGTTTCCTGTATCCATTATTTTATTGAGAAATCCGCTCTTGGGAGGGTTTACTGTATTAAAACGCCAGTCCTTAAGTAGCTTCATAACTCATGTTCCTTAATCAAGTAACATTTTTCTCTGGTGTTATTTAATAAAGATTTGGCTCCTGCTTAATATATGACCAGAATTAATACAGATATGATATTAATGAACAAAACTACTAATAATATAACAATGTGATAAATATTCGTAGGAGTGATTTCAGAGACCATAGCCAGGTACACGATCACGCTATAATCCTTGTGTGTGTGTGTGTGTGTGTGTAGGGGCGCGTGCGTGTGTGTGTGTGTAGGGGCGCGCGTGTGTGTGTGTGTGTGTGTAGGGGCGCGTGCGTGTGTGTGTGTGTGTGTGTGTGTGTGTGTGTGGGGGCGCGTGTGTGCGTGTGTGTGTGTGTGGGGCGCGTGCGTGTGTGTGTGCGCGTGTGTGTGTGTGTGTGTGTGTGTGTGTGTGTGTGTGTGTGTAGGGGCGCGTGCGTGTGGATTGACGGTGTGAGCCTTGTAGTACTGGTAGCTGGAGCAGTGAGGTATTGACGTGCTTGTAGACTGCCATGGTGAGTTTAATAGGAAGATGTACACATTAGAGTTAACACTGAGACTGCACTTAGGGTACAGATGTGTATTAACATCTCTCAGACTACAGGCTTCCATATACTATCCTGGTGTTAGATACAGTTAACTCCAGCGAGAGAAATGTTTCAAGAAGATTCTGAATACCGAAAACTAAAAGCATAATCGTTTCTGTCCAATTACTTATTATTACTATTTCAATCAACTGTAATGACAACAGATTGTTAGTTCAAAGGTTAGTTAAAGCAGGATGTTGGGTTAATTGTTACAGAGGAAATTGAACTTTGGTGAGCGGTGAAGGAGGGAGGGAGGAAGTGAGAGAGGGTGAAGGAGGGGAAGGAGAGTGGTAAAGGTTGGTACAGTATGTAACCATTGCTATATAGAGTATAATGAGAGATGGTCTAATCTATATTACAGGGTAGTGTTGTGTGGACAGTGGCGGTGATGATGATGGCGGTGATGGTGGTGACGTGTGGTCCAGGTGGTGTAGTACAGTACCAGTTACTAGTCAGGGGCGCCCTACTTCCCAACCACTACATCTGGACTACAATACACGCCCAGTCCGATCTACAGGTACAGTATCTCAACAAATATCTGTCCACACAATGGGTGAAACATTATGAGACCACGGATGATAGATATTGGGGCAGGCATTTACTTCGGTATATAGTTTAACATAAGTAATGTAATGTGTATTTATTTTGGGATAATTAATATGATGTTCAGTTACCAAATGTACTATGCCACAGAGCCAGGCATACCAACCCTCCTGAGACATTACGAGTTGCATGTATCATTTCTGAAGTCATCTGACCCATCCTGGCAAATACATTTTTAGATACTGCACATGGATTGTTTAACATCTGGTACAGTAAGTGATATACCTAACCTAACCTAACCTTAACTTCACATCGGGTACGTTATCAAACGAGGCAGTTTATGACCCTTATGGATGTAGTAAAGAGGTCTATAAATATCGTGGTAATTGTGTTTTAGGGTGTGTATGTCTCCGAGATGATCCTGTGATGGTGGCCACGCCCTCTCTAGTCTGATAGGAAGATAAGGCTCTTTTATACACCACCTGGGAAGGGAGGGGGCGGGGAGGAAGAGAATGAGGAGAGGTAGGGAGGAAAGGGAGGGAAAGAAGGAGAGGAAGCTAGGGAGGAAAGGGAAGGAGAGAGAAAGGCAGGGATGGAGGGAAGGAAGGAAGGGAAGGGAAGGGATGGAGGGAAGACGGGAAGGAGGAGGAAGGAAGGAAGGAAGGGAGGGAAGAAGGGAAGGTTCGCGCAAGGGGTATATTTTGACCGCCTTTATATAACACAAACTATACAATGTAATTCTAGATAATTAATTAGATATGGAAGGTCAGAGATCAAATACAAAGTTCATGTCATAGGTACTGTACACACACACAAAGTATCTCTACGGAGGGGTTCGATGAATTTCATAATGAACACTAGTTGTCTAGGAAGAACTGTCAATATCTTTCATTCGTTGTGTCATATTATCTAACACAAATTCGTACAGATACTTTTTTGGGAGCGTGTGGATATAAATTTCTTATTGTCTTTACTTCCGTCTATAAGTCTTAAACAAAAATCACAGTATATGTGGCGAGGAACGCTGTTATGTTCGTGTACCTTCCTTTGAAGGGATTGGGTGAGATAATGCCACTGACGAACTAAATACATATATTGGATTAATTAAAGGATTATGAATCATTATTTAACTCCTTTATATTCCATTCACAGGAAGGTGATATTTTATGAACATTTGATCTTATTTCCAGTGTGCTATGTGGGCCAGCAAACAAGGCGTGACGACTTTTGGCAATACAGATGACGTCAGTGAGAGTGGAGTGGAGTGTGCCCTTGCCAAGCACGACACACCCGCCACGCCCACACTCCTTACACCCACACTCCTTACCACCAACGACTCCGCTCACACAGTCTGGATTGCTCAGGTACTGCAAAAATGGCTATTGTCTTGTCTTGTTTATTTATCAGTTTGGTGGTGGAATGGCGACAATTAACACCGCCGGAATAACTTTAATTAGATATACTCATGTTAACTTATAACACCCTTCCTTCCCTCCCCTCCTCCTTCTCTCCTTCTGCCCCCCTACCCTCTCCTCTCCCCTTCTCTCTCCATCACTCCTTTCCCTCCCTATCTCTGCCTTCCCTCCCCACCTCTCCCTCCTTTCCCATCACTCCTTGCCTTCCTTATCTCCTCCTTCCCTCCTTGCTTCTCCCACTCCTCCTATTTTCGCTAACCCCCTCCCCCCTCCCGGTAACTGTATGATGCCCTTCGCTACAGTACATCTAGGGAAGCGAACTCTTTTAGCGTACAATAATAACAGAGAGAGAGAGAGAGAGAGAGAGAGAGAGAGAGAGAGAGAGAGAGAGAGAGACGTTATGATTTAAGAGTCAACAAGTATTTCAACTAAGGCCTTTAAACACTACATCAGTGCACCCCCACCCCTTCCTCACACATAACGCACGCAGGTAAGTGGACCACAATAAGTGTTTAAATGACTAAAGCCGGTGCATGCCCAGTACTTGCCAAAATGCTTATCAGAGACGTGACCGATCGCCCAAGCGGCTAACTTCAATAATTATACTACACTTCTCCCAACTCACTTTTAACAACACATAAATATACTGAATTACAACCAATAAAAATAAAACTTTTTGAAATCTGACCAATATCATGGGCATTCTGAGGCCATGTGCACTGGATATTTCTATAGGGGTGTTTATCACGTCCACCAATATCATTCTACATTCTGATTGCGCCACCATCCTCACTCTGCTGTACATGCTGCCCGTGTTAATATATTTGATTAGCTTAGGTTAAATTAAGTTGGGTTACGTTAAATTAGTTTGGGATAAATTAGATTAAGTTATGTTAGATTGAATTAGGTTATAGGAAGCTAGATTAGAGTAGCTAAGGTCAGATTAAGGTAGGTAAGGAAAATATCGTGACTATTTTTCACTGCGGAATTTCAGACTAAAGAATAAAAAAAACAAAGAATGGCGAGTCGCCTTCATCATGTGTGCAACTTAACGTTTACTGTGATTTATGGCGGCCAATCATACAATCAGGGGCAACATTAGTCACAATGTAATCTCCAACTTTTAATATTTGTGAGGCTTAGTTTTGAGTTATGTGTAGCAACGCCATACAACAAGAGAGAGAGAGAGAGACTTTTGCCAGGAGGGGGGGTTATTGGATACAGCCTATTTTATTGTGCACCTCATGCTCCTCCTGTGAGCAGTAGTACAAAAAATATTACAAAGGTTCTTCAGCCAACCTTTCAATTCATGCGAGCCCTGTTATCTACCAGGTGCAAAATATGGATACAATATTGTCCGGCATTTTTTAGACTATTTGGCCACTTGATTTAATATGACAGCCGTCTTAAAAAAATCACCATTCAGGCTGTTACTGATTTCCGAAAAATTTATTTAAACTTAAGTGGTAAACGTTAAAGAGGGGTGCAGTGCCCAAGAGAGGGTGTGGTGTACCGTGGGGGTGGGGGGTATCGGCACTCAGGGAGTGCCCAAGAGGGTGTGGTGTACCGTGGGGGTATCAGCGCCAGGGTGTAAGAGAGGTGTGGTGTACCGTAAAGGGGGTATCAGCGCCAGGTAGGTACCCAGGGTGTGGTGTACCGTAAGGGGGGTATCGGCATGAGTGCCCAAGAGAGGGTGTAGTGTGTGTACCGTGGGGGGGGTATCGGCGCCAGGTAGTTCATTAATCAGCTGTGGTCGACTATCTCCATACACATCTTTATGCCGCCATAGTTATGACATAGCAGCCACCAGATCCCCCCCTACACACTCTCTCTCTCATTATATGCTTCTACAGGAGTTTTAAAGCATAGCATCACAAGTAATCGAGGTGAAATGCTGTTGATACACTCAAACGTTCTACTAACCTAACCTAATCTTCGTGTAATACAGAACATAAAGTAAGTCCCTCCCCGATGTGTTGATTGATAACTGAGGCGGTGTTTTGTCTTAAGTCCCCCCCAGACGAGGCCGCTACTACCCCGCCCATCACTGCCACTACAGCCACACCTGCCATTACAACTACGGTCCCTGCCACCACCGCCACACCCCCTGCCACTACAACGATGCGCCTTGCCACTACTACGGTCCATACCATCACAACCACAGCCGTCGCTACAACTACAACAGCTAACCCAACCACAACTACAACCATTCCCTCAGGTAAAGTAACATCCATGCTGACCTTATTAACTAAATGTCAATGCTGTGTCTACGTATATTGTGTTTACATTATTTTGGTGACGATGATTTGTTTTTGTCTTTAGATTGACTTCAATGAACTTATTTTCACGATTACGAAAGTGTTAATAACGATGGTTTGGAGGGAACTATGAAAGGTGATCTGTAAACTAATCACAAGTATTTGTATTATGATGTACAGGGATTTATTTAGTTATCAAGACGGCTCAGTGAGAAATCATTGGGGGAAGCTTGGGGCCACGTTTAAAAAAAAAAAAAAAAGTAGTAGTAGTAGTTAGTACTTGTAGTAGTAGTAGTAGTAGTAGTAGTAGTAGTAGTAGAATAGTAGCAGTATTTAGCATGACAAGTGGCTGTTAAGACACTAACCTAACAGTATAGTGCGTGACCAGCAGCTATGTGACACTAACCCAACAATCTTATAGGCGAGAAATACACAATAGTGCTTAACATCTCACATGCAATAAATCGCACCTAATCTCTACCTCTTTCTTACAACATATAGCATATGTAACACGTCATCTTTAGGACTAACTACATACCATTGCAATATTTAAATCAATCATGATAAGTAGGTCCTTGCAAAATGTTTTTACACATCAATGAGTACCCTTATACCACTAGTTTTGATCACTTCTTGTTGGTGTTGGTAGTGGAAGTGGTTGAGAATGTGGTAGTAATGGTGGAAGCCGTGGTGATTGTGGTGGTAATGGTGGTATTAGTTGTGATGGTGGTGATTGTGGTAATGATGGTAGTGGAGGCATTACTCAATGTTAACAAGATAGAAGAGGCCTGGAGGGGAAGGAGGAGAGAGAGAGAGAGACGCTAGCGTTAACATATAAAGCAAGAATGTTTACAATATTTTACAACCTTCTAAAACGAGCTCTAGATATGTCAACTTATATTACAGTCTCCTTCACCCTTGACACTGTACAATCAGATCAATGCATCAAATGTGACTGAGTAAACATTATGTTGCAATATTTTCAAGAAATCTGAAAAGACATTTGTGTATATTTCGCTTGGTGGAAAAAATATTAAGTATATATTACAAAATTTCGCGTCAATTTTGTGTTGGTAGTGGAAACATAACACAAAATGGCGTTAATATTTCACAGATTTTAAATTGACCCTGTGCTTACTGTGCTAAACTTTCCTTCAATGTTATCTTATTAGTCTGATAACTTGGTCATACATTTATTATGACTTTGAGGAATGTGACGGTAAAATAGGCGCTAAGCCCCCCCCCCCGTTCTATAAGACGGTGAATAGCTGACTGGGTTACCGCTTCAGTACATAATTATAGTGTCATTCATTCATCAGCGATACCGTTTTAGTCAGTTAATTATCAAATTTTCAACATTTCGACTACAGATCTTGATTCATCATGTCGAGAACAACCTACACTGAGATTTTGAGCAAAATTAATTTTTGGGGCCGAAAAATCCATTTTCCTCAAAATTTCAATATAGTTATTCCTAGACGTTCTGATAATTGCGTGTTCTGTCGATTAGGGCAATTAATTATAAAAAAATCATACTCCAAGGACAATTAAATGTGATTCATAGTTTAAGTTCAAATTTTCAACTACAGTTCGATGGCTAAAACTAAATGCTCCAAGGTATATCACTGCACACACTGTAACGGCACTATCAAGTATTGTACAATAATACCGAGAAGGAATTTAATTACCAATATCAAGGATGCATTTGGGCAGTCTTCCCATCCCAGCCCTGCTGCTAACCTGACTGAAAATAGGCAAATTCGCTTTTATAATTACAATACATACAGTACAGTATAAAGGGAGAATTAAGACTTTTAAGTTGACGACAGCGGTAAGTGACAAACTCTTGTGCCCCCCCAGGTGGTGTGTGCCATGCTGTGCAAGGAAGCTGTGATACTGTCGGGGAGTTCTTCATTCACCCTACTGACTGTGCCAAGTAAGTGGGAAGAGAGGAAAAGGGGTGAATAAAAGGAAAGAGTGGAGGAGAAAGGAGGACAGGGAGAGAAACAGTGGGGGGAAGGGAGGGAGGGAGAGAGAGAAAAGAAAAAACGACAGAAAGAGAGACGAAGTGACGAGAGGGACAGACGAAGTGGGAAAGGGAGGAAGGGAAAGGAGGAAGTGAAAAGAATGGACGAGGGAGAGAGAGAGAGAGAGACTAAGTAAGGGTGAGAGGAAAGAATGACAGTAGGGAGGGACTGTCCTGATGATGTTCATGATTTTAAATGTCTGTGAAATCTGTCCTATCATGTATCGTCTGAAGAGTTGTCATAAGGCTAAAGTGAAATTATCATCTCGATCATCCACCTATTTGGAAGTGGGTCAGAATCGTTCAAAACACATCAAAAACCATCGGAAAAACAAAATTTCAACCTAACCTCGAACGGCAGTAATCAAAATCTTAAAATTTGCTTGACGACCGAAACGATAATAACACCGTTTTTTTATGGATATGATATGTCTTTCTGGCGGTATGATTATTAAGCTGTATACAAGAGTCTAGATGGGGACGTATGAGACACTTTTTACACGAATTGTCGTATATTCTGAAGAGTTTGGGAAATAATGAAAAACACTATATTGGAGGCAAAATAATAGTTTCCCTTTCACGAACATAACTTTACTTACCATAGAAAACGGTTGGATTAACAGTATGACTCCAACAATTGTGTATCATATCTCGGTATAATTTCCTATACACATTTCACGACAGAAACCATTTTAAAGCTATTTAATTATAAAAACCCTTCTAATATATATATATATATATATATATATATATATATATATATATATATATATATATATATATATATATATATATATATATATATATATATGAATTACACGAAAGCGCTTGGGAACTTCGTGTTTTCTCTTTCCTTATGGTTATCCACAATGGAAAAGTGGATAAGATAAATCTTGATAAAATCACACAGGGAAAGGGGAAACAGTGGAGAACCTTAGCTTTCGTCTTTATTCAAGACATCTTCAGAGGCAAGTAAATTACAAGGACCGAGAGAGGCTTAAGTACACAGGGTGACCTTACTAAACATGAGGTCAGGTCATAAATATAACATCCACTAATCCGCACACCAACACCACCACACACACACACAAAGGAGCTTTACGGAAAGGGCGACGTAACTAGTCATGTTAAGTCAGGTCAAATATATGGGACCCACTAATCATCTATCCTACATTTACAGTAACTCGAATGTGTTCAAAGCATTTTTAACCTTTAGCCACTGACAAATAAATTTGAACACATTCGAGTTAAATAATAACATTATAACAACAACAGCACAGTACAAATGAATATAATTTTTGGCATGAGTTTAACCTATACTCCCTACAGGTACCTAAGGTGTTCCACTACTAATAAGTTGGAGGAACACCCCTGTGGTAGTGGAACACACTGGAGTCAGTCAAAACTGACCTGCGACATGATTGCTTCAGTCATTGAGCCTTGTAGATGTTGAGACGCCGCGCCGTAGTGACAGCAGAACATAAATTATTATCCCATCACCTGTCAACATTATGAAACTTGTCAACATCACAGCATCCGTCAATAGCCCTCATACCTTTCAATAACTAATTACCTGTCAATATCCCAGTATTTGTCAATATCCCAGCAACTGTCATTATCCCAGCACAAGCTTCTAAAGAGTTATTATTTTTCAACGAATAACAAGATGACTTTCCGTGAATCACAGGATTGTTTGCCCCGAAGGAGGGAAGCAGAATTATTGTCTTTCGTGTGTTCATTCTTTTTTGCAAACATTTTATTGTCACACAATGAAATTCGCAACCATTTTTTAACCACTTGTTGGCTGATATATTTACGTGCGCAGTCCGCTACGCAGAAAACGGATAAAAATCGTGTAAGATAATGTTCAAATTTATTACTAAAACTCTTGGAACAATCTACCAGAAAGTGTTGTGACGGCACCGAGTGTGAGCTCTTTCAAGAGAAGACTTGACCAACACTGGAGCAGGTTCAGGTACATTCAGGAGCCGGTGCATACCCAGTATTTGCCAACAGTGCGTGACAGAGACGTGACCGATCGCCCAAGCGGCTAACAAGCCGATCAGTGGTGAAGAGGATAAAAGTAAAAAAAAAGTAATAATAATAATCCTAAATTCGCTTGTCTAGTGATTGTAAAGATCTTGTCTCCCTTAAAATGTAAACCTCTGTCCTGTGTGGCAGAAAATAATTACTACTTCGTCAGCACTATGAACCTGCTGAATTTACTGTACTTATATATAATTGTACTTGAGTCTCACGAATAAAGGTGTTAAGCTAAAAAGAAAGTTGGTTCCTTTAGTCCGCTTCAAAAATGATATTCACACTTGATTTTACCTTACTCCCTCTCCCCCGACACACTAGATTTACATTGCATACCTTAAAATGAACATAACAATGAAGATTTTCCTTCATAATATATCACAAAACATTGAGGTGGAATTTACCTGGATTGTGAGTACCTACATATCCATAAATTGAGGTACTGAGATATGTCACTTCCAAGGAACTGAGTGTTATTTCTTGAACAGGAGTTGGGGACGACTGTATATATTAGTTTCAAAATCAATATCATTATACAGGACTATTTATCACTATACAAGAGATTTCCCTTTTATTGTGGAGTTACGTTTTCTTTCATTGTGTAAATGTTGCTACGTTTTCTTTTAGCTTGTAAATTGGCTGTTGCCAGTTTCCACACGACTGTTCTTAACTTGTCTAAAACACTTTTACGAATTCACTACCATCTGGTTTACTGTACATGTAAAACCTTATATCACGGAATTATCGGTCTTGATTTGTTTCCTAAAAAGAACTACAGTATATACAGCTCAAAATAACCGAATATGAGAGTAAGCGATGAAAGCACAAACTACACCTCACCAACAGTAAACAAGACTGAGGTAACATCAATCAGTACACCACCTCTGGTTGGTCATTGCATGGTAGGTACCTTGGTCACCCAGCTGTTGTTTTTGGTGGGATATATTATTTGCGTCTCCTGCTGAAGCCTAACCTTTACTTGTGCCAATAATAATGCTTCAATAATATGTTCAGAATTATGATTAAACGTATGCGTGTATTTAATATATATATATATATATATATATATATATATATATATATATATATATATATATATATATATATATATATATATATATATATAGACGAAAGCTAAGGTGTTTCCCTTTTCCTGTGTGGTTCTGTGTATGGTCACATATGCGAGTATGCATGTACGAGTTTATGTACACACACAGACACATTAAAACAACTGTACCATCTTGTGAAGGCTGATCACAATGCACAAACAGTTAACTACGACTCGGGGTCACTGCTGTGTGTGGTTGTAGGTGAAGAAGCAAATACTAAGATGTATAAAATGTAGCTTTATTATCATCAACTTCCAGGACTACAAGTCGAGACACATTACAGGGGGGCAAATTAGCTATTTACAAACCTTAAAGCAATATTCCACTGCAACAGCGACATTTGCACTACATACTGACTTATCATGCAGATAATATACGTCAACACTGCACGCGTCTGTAGAAACTGTAACTTCAACATCGAGAGATTCGTGAACTGCTCAGTCACGTGAGGTAACGCAGTAGTCATCACAATAATACCGAGTTGCTAAGGTTTGACAATATTTTCTGGAGCGGGTGTTGGGAAGCAAAATTTTGATAGGCGTACCAGTAAGCCTATGGAATTTTCTCAAGCAAAGATGCCCGATGATTGGTAAAGTAGTGAGCTGCATGTGACGACAATAGAGGAGCTACCCCCCGCCTTTGCTGTTGTGACTGAGACATATATTCAAGATGAAGACAGTTCAGTTCTACAAGACCCTGCTTTAACGTAGCACGAGTGACGTCGTTGCTGCCCTACAGTCTATAGGAACGATCAAATGTATATAACAAAATATGTAAATAGCCATCATGGACTGTTAACAGATCTCACAGAAAAGGACTTTTACATATTTTATTATGAGATTGCAAAAAAAAAGTCATCCATTTTTTCTTGTTTTATGCTGGAGTAACAATTGTCTAACATCGAAATGATCAAACGACAGATATTTCGATAATAGCAATTGAGACATTTTTTAAAATACTGAATCTCAGTTTATACCAATAAAAAAAAAGCTGCCCATCGTCCACCAGTGGTTATATACACAAGGTTAACACACACAAACAACAGGTATTTTGATTGAGCAGAGATTGGCAGGAGTATTCAATGACAAGACCTGAGAATTCACATTACAGCACTGCACAGTGCATCAAGCTACTTAACACCACCCATGATACACACACACACACACACACAATACACCTGAGGCGTCATTACTCGGGTGCTTCACTAAATATTGTCTTTTTACAATATCATAAATTCAAAGTTGAGTATTACCCAGCCTTCGGTACATGACTTACAACAGTCAGCAACGCTGTCCAAATTATCTGGCTCTGAAAATTCTAACATCATCCTTCAAATACATAATAAATACTCCCTCGCCACATACACTTTGTCACAATTTTTTTTTAACCATGTAAGTAACCTGTTGATTGAAACATGAAAACACCTGTTCATTAAACCACTGATGAATTAGACCAATACCTGAATATATGATATTCAAGATAATGACAAAACTGCTCGGTGTTAATATTACCCGAGACAACATTATAATACTCAAAGTAACTTAATTTTACCCAGAAGTAACTTTGGGTGAGAGGAGGTAACTGTATCCTGCACCATCAGGATATTTTAGTCACCCATAGTCACCCATCTTCTAGTTGCCAAGTGCAATTCTTTGTTAAAAAAAATATTTTCCCATTTTAAAAAAGCTAAATATTTATGATTTTTTCCACATTATTGCATATTTGTAAAGCACTTTCCTTAATTTCAAGTCTCCCACAGACTACACACAAAGAATTAATAATTGGAAGATCGATAGAGGAAGACAGAGTACAGATACCATGTCTGCTTAACGTCCAGTACACCCACTGCTTCAGGAACTAGTACATTATTATATACACACACTTTATAATAACTTGTATATAAATTATTTCATGTGCACTGTATTCTTTGTGAAGCCTACTGGTAATCAAGGCACCAAAGGTATTGTACAGTACATGTGGGCATTTATATTGGACGCGAGCAAATAGTTCATTGTGAGCATATAGAGTGCAGTGCCTCCCCCGACACGCACACACGTTGTCCTTCCCTTGGCACTCTCATGGTGTGTCTATACCTGGCACACGCATAGTGCCTCCATTAGCACATTTATAGTGCCCCTCCTGGCAGACATAAGCACGTTGCCTACACTGGCAGACACAAGCGCAATGCCTCCACTGGCAGACGCAAGCCCGTTACTTCCACTGGCACACACACAAGAGCCTTCCCCGCCACACACGGTGAAACTGTTGTACTTTAAATTCTACATTATCAGGTGTCTTGTCATCACCAAACGGACGGATGAACAGACACACAAGAATCTGCATTCGTAAAATACATAGTTTTAATACATTGAAGGCACGAGTGTTATGACGTCATATATACATCGCCGACTTGAGCTAAAAAAATCACTTGTTTATACTTCCTTCATAAGAGTACAATAAATAAACTATCAGGCAACATTAATTATATTACTGGTGATATAAGAGTTGCATTCTCGAGGTACACGAATACTCTCGGGGACAATATTTTACTCGTTAAATTTTTTGTCGAGTTTGCTGCGGGGTCGGAGTATAAGCGATCACTTTGTGGTGGTGGGCGGCCTGTCCTCCACCACCTGTTTTGTGTACTAATACGGTCGCCACACTGACGGATCATTGGGTGAAGGACCGCCCGCACGTGTACCATTACTCATGTAGCGGTCGTGGGCGTGGGCGGCGTGGAGGGTGTCATCGGGTGTCATGTGAGCGCCGGCCATCATACTCTGATGTGGGACAGGCGTAGTAGCTCCAGCACTTGACATGTCACGGTAACCATCGTGACGAGTATAGTCCCGCTGGGCGGTGGTGTTGGTGGCGGTGTTGGTGGCTGTGTATTGATCAGTGGCGGCCTGGCGGGGGTCGAGGATGGAGAGCTGACCTTGCTGAGGGTAGAGATGAGGGTAGAGGAGTGAGACGCTAGGGGAGAGGTAGCCCTGCGCCGTGGTGGTAGCTGTGTAGTAACCTCCTCCCAAGTAACCCGGATAGCTCCCCGCTCCTCCACCCACCGTTCCTGCCGCCGCCGCCGCTGCCGCTATCACTCCACTCCCAGAGCCGCCCGTTGACGAAGACGCGCCCGTTAGCAGGCCGCCTACGGTTGAGGAGGAGCCGGCGGCGTTGGAGGAGGTGGCAGGCGGTGTATAGGGGGCACAGGTGATGTCTTGACGGGGGTCTGTCGTGCCTGTCTGCCCGGCGTGGCGAAGGTCAGGGGAGGAGTACCGCGCCAACATATATTCGTGGCGAGGCGGAGAATGAGGCGCCTGCAGTGATGACCCAAGACCCTCGTAGTCTCCACCAGAGCTGGGAGAGTTCTCCATCACACCTGCAACACACACAACACTGTATTACTACACCTACAACACACACACAACACTGTATTACTACACCTACAACACACACACAACACTGTATTACTACACCTACAACACACACACAACACTGTATTACTACACCTACAACACACACACACACTGTATTACTACACCTACAACACACACAGCACTGTATTACCACACCTGCAACTCACACAACACTACTACTACAACACCTGCAACACACACAACACTGTATTACCACACCTACAACACACACACACACACACACACACACACACACACACACACACACACTGTAGGTTAGGTTAGGTTAAGTGACTGGTACCTGAGGATAGATGTGAAGAACTGGAGTCTAGCGGATTCACTTGTTGCGTTATATCACTGCCATAACCCAGGGCTTGGGTGGACGAAAACCCGCCCTGGAGGGTCGAAGTGTTTCCCCCCGTTAAACTACCTGTAAGTGACAACTTCAATTAGTTATAAGGATGACACATGGGCCCTGACAACACTAATGACCAACATAATAAAGGGGTGACACATGGGCCCTGACAACACTGATGACCAACATAATAAGGGTGACACATAGGCCCTGACAACATTAATGACTAACATAATACGAGGGGTGGCCCTTGGGCCCTGAAGCAACGATAATGACTAACGCATAATAAAAGGGTGACACATGGGCCTGACAGCACTAATGACCAGCAACATAATAAAGAGGTAGCCCCGCAAATTTCAACTAACCCTATTGACCAACATAATAAAGGGGTGACACATGGGCCCTGACAACACTAATGACTAACATAATAAGGTATTTTATGGGCTAACTTCTAATAATGCCCATAATAAAAAGGGGAACGACACATGGGCTGACAACACTGATGACCACTTTTATAAAAGAAGGGTGACACATGAATACACAGTAGCACTAATGACCAACATAATAAAGGGGTGACATGGGCCTGACAACACTAATGACCAGCATAATAAAGGGGGTGACACATGGGCCTGACAACATTAATGACTAACATAATAAGGGTGACACATGGGCTGACAACACTAGCCAACCAACATAATAAAAGGTGGCCCTTGGGCTAATAACCTAATGAGCCAACATAATAAAAGGGTGACACATGGGCCCTGACAACACTAATATTAACATAATAAAGGGGTGACACATGGGCCCTGACAACGCAATATTAACATAATAAGGGTGACACATGGGCTGACAACGCTAATGACCAACACTAAAAAGGGTGACACATGGGCCCTGACAACATTATAAAGGAACATGTGGACTGCCCTTTACTTCTTTGAATATAACTAATATATAATGATGATGATGAGAGGAGGGAGGGGGTGGGGGGAGAGGAGGAGGGAGATCGACAAGGGAGGGAGGAGGGGAGGAGGGAGGGAGGAGGAGGGAGGGAGGGAGGGAGGGAGGGAGGGGGAGATGGAGCTAGGGAGGGAGGGGGAGATGGAGCTAGGGAGGGAGGGAGGCAGTGTTGTCAGCCCTGGCCATATACAAAGCCTGGCCAACCTGACTCTCTTCCATCCTCCCTCCACTTCTGTTCCACCTCTATTCCACTTCCACATCCTTTACTTACCCCTCTCCACCTCCACTTACATCCCTCTCAACCTCTCCTCCTCCTCATCTACCTTCTCCATCATCCACCTCCATCTCTACTCCCCCTCCACCTTCACCTCACCTGCCTCCCTCCGCCTCTCTCACGCCTCACCAAAACACACCTTGACATATTATCCTGATGACACAATGACGAAACATTTGACACTTTAAACCATTATTACACACTGTGGTAGTGGTGTGGTGGTGGTAGTGGTGGTAGTAGTAGTGGTAGTGGTGGTGGTGGTAGTAATAGTGGTGTGGTGGTAATAGTGGTGGTGTTGGTGTGATGGTAATCGTGGAGGTAGTGGTGGTGTGGTGGTAGTGGTGGTGTGGTGGTGGTAGTAGTAGTAGTAGCAGTGGTGATAGTAGCAGTAGTAGTAGTGATAGTATTAAGATAATAAAATGGCGGCGAAGGTGTGGCTATTGGGGGAGGCTGGAGGCCATTTATCTGAAAAAAAAGTAGTAGTAATCGTAGTGATGATGGAACAAGGACGCTCACCTGGTATATAAGAGGAGTAATGTGAACCACCGTAACTGGACCAGTGACTGTCTGCTGTACCCAGGCCCATGGACGATGTCGCATCTGTAACAACAACAACCAACATCAGTCATAACAACAACAACAATCAACATCTGTAATAACAACAATCAACATCTGTAGCGCTGGCCTAAAACAACCTTTACAACGACACAAACTGCTCTCTGTGACAGTGACGTAATAACACATTAACATCTGCAATAACAAAATAACATATAACATCACATCAACACATGCAACATCACATTAACATCTGCACCAACGAAAATAACCTCTACAAAATCAGGTTAGGTGGATCTCTCTCTCTCTCTCTCTCTCTCTCTCTCTCTCTCTCTCTCTCTCTCTCTCTCTCTCTAGGAATTTAAGCTCTGTGATGGGAAGGTTCAACTCGTGTGGAGGATGTTCCTGGGTGTTCCTGGAGGTCCCTATGTGTCACTGGGTGTCTCTGAGTGTTACCGGATGTCTCTGGGTGTTCCTGGGTGTTCCTGTGTGTTACTGGGTGTTACTGGTTGTTCCTGGGTGCCGCCGTGTGCTACTGTGGGTGGTGATAACAGCTCTCAACACAAGCAAATACATCATCGGTGATAAAAGAGACGAGTGTAATGATACCCTCGCGGGGATCATTACACCTGGCTCCACCTGCTTCCTGTACTTGTGCATATCATTAGTGAGTGTAGGTGGTCGGCTCTCAGTGGCTTAAGATCCATCATTTGGATTAGGTGGAAATATTTACCTTGACAGATCGTTGAGGAGGAGGAGGGAGGGAGGAGGAGGACAAATTAGTGTGTGAGTGGTATATGTATGTATGTATGTATGTATGTATGTATGCTTTCCTAATACAACTAGACCACATGGATAGAACAGAAGGTAGTGAGAAGGAAAAAAAAAAATATAAAAAATATATATATATATATATATAGTTTAGCAACACACACACACCTCCTACCCGCACTAATTTAACCCTATTAAATGGACACTTCCTAACACCATCGAGGGACGAAAAAAAAATCGAGGGAAGATGACGACGGGCAAAACAACGCGGTGATATTTTTTTTTTTTGTTTTTTTTAATAAGTCGTCAATGGTGTTGTGTAGGAGGTGATGTTAAGTGATATTTGTTGTGTTCCTGGTCTGTCTGTCACCTCATACGACAACAGATCCACATATAGCTTAAATCCCTTGAGTTTTGATGACCTTCGTGATAGACCATAATTTATAGTGACAGTTCTCCCCTCCATCATTCCCTCCTCCTCCTCCTATTACCACACGCAGGGGCAGGGAAGAAGTCTTATTTATCGCCCCAACGCTCAGGATCTCTGATATAATTGCTCCCTGTGGTGGGACGTGTGACGATAGTGTGATAATTATACATCAATTGTAGTGTGTGTGTGTGTGTGTGAGAGAGAGAGAGAGAGAGACCTCCTCCTCACCACAGTCGTCCACCCTGGCAGGTCTTGTACTACTCCTGCTGGGGTTTTTGCTCACCACATCGTTACATTACCGGGATGAAATTACATAAACTGCGGAAATTAATCCCGCTAAACGAGTGAACAACTTGGCATAAATTGGCCTGATTTGTGCTGAATTTGCATGGTTAAATTGTGGCTCATTTCTCTCATTGTTGTGGGAATTGGATAATTTGGGGAGAATAGTGTGTGTGTGTGTGTGTGTGTGTGTGTGTGTGTGTCGGACCACCGCCCCCAACGGAAACCTTGCGTCAAAATTTTTTATATATGGTCGACTCGACTCCTTCCAGTGTTGTTGTAAACATCATTTGTTTTCATCTACGATAATCTTTTGACATGACGGATTAGTGGTGGGAAGGGGCGACCGTGGAATAGTGAGACGTTACCATAAAGGGCGAGTTGTAGCCCCACACGACACGAGACTATCGCTCTTATGGATAACTCGTGGGTTAGCACTATCTTGCCTACTCTGGCTGGCTCATAAAACCCCCGCGTTTATGTTGTCGGAACACCAGTGAGGTAATTAATTAAGAGCCAGGTACCAGGTAAGTCACTCCCAGGGAGGGGCCCGTGTGCTAACTGTTGCTGCTGTTACTTGCCCTCTCCAACACCTCCTCCCTCACACCAGTTAGGGAGTGTATTAATGTATATACAGCGCCAAGCAGGGAGGGAAGGGTGGGCCGGCATCATCTCTGTGGTGGAGTCTCGTGTATGAGCCACCCACCACCCACCCACCACCGGCCGCCCCACCACCACACACCCACCACAACCCACCACCAGTTTTCACGGCTAGACGACCTTGCATGTGATATGAATTAGGGTCTCTTGCTTAATGGCGCTAATTTACCAGTCATTTGTCTTACTGGTGTAGACTGCAAGTGCCGTGGTGCTTGTTATTCCCCCACTTACTTCACACACACACACACACACACACACACTCATCCCTCACACTCTCAATCACTCCACAATCACCACAATCAGCCACACATATTTACACTCACCACACTCAACCACAGACTACTACACCCACCACACTCAACCACAGACTACTACACCCACCACACTCAACCACAGATCACCACAATCAACCACACAGCATCATACATCATCGATATAACTTCCATTTATAACTACAGTTTAGATAACAGTTCACCACACGTCTGAAAAGTGAACCACGTGTTATCTCCCCTCTCTCCGGGTGAGAAGGGGTGAGATACAAGAACATGGGGCGTAAGATGTATGAATCATTTCCATCCTTTTCCTCCTCAACCCTACCTTTCTCTCCCCTACCTCGTGCTTCCCCACCCCCACCCTCCCCACTTCACCCTACCTCCCCTCCACTGCCAATTGACGCCCACAAAGCCACTAAAACAACCCGGAGCTGAAAAAAAAGCTATTTCATTCACGTTGGTTGATGTTGGTGTGATGACTGTGGTAAGTGTTTGTGGGGGAGGGAGGGAGAAGGGAGAGGAGGAGGGAGGAGGAAGGGAGGGAGGAGGAGGAGGAGGAGAAGGAGAGGGAGGGGAGAGAAGGGGAGGAGGGAGGGAGGAGGGAGGGAGAGGGAGAGTGGGAAGGAGGGAAGGAGAGAGAGAGAAATAATCAACAAGGTCATAACCCCAGGCCAACACACACACAGCTATGGAAGGAGGAGTCACCACACAGCGCCTCTACTGAATACAAATTTATGGTTCTATCAACATAACTCTGGAGGGATTTAATGTGTCTTCCCAGCCCTTACCCCCCAGCCCCCATCAAGTCCCTCCTCCCCCAGACCCCTAAGAGTCCCACGGTACCCCTTTAGTCCCCTATCCCATCCGGTGTGGTCCTGAGAACAGACGAGAGTAACAAACGAACACCTTTACTTTACTCTGAGGCTCCAAAATCTATTGTACATAATTCATCTGTCAATTTATCTATATCACCTGACTTACACCTTTACAACACCTGTCTTCAGAGTTTAATATAACATAATTTACCTATCAATTTAAGTAAGTCGCCTCACCTGCCTTTAAAATTCTCTATCTCACACACACACAGAGTTAACTTACTTACATACACTCCCCAATTACTCGTTAAACCGTGAAGTGACCAATTTAGTGGTCCATGGTAGACTGGACTCTTACACCATGTTGTAATTGTGTTGTGTTTTCCTCCTCACCCTTCTCTCTCCCTCCTCCACTACCTCTCCTCTACTCCCCCTACTTTATTCCCCCTCCTCCTCTACATCCCATCCTCCACAACCCCTCCTCTACTCTCCACCTTTAAGTTTGTATTAGTTTATGGATTTTAATGGTGTGTGTGGGGGAAGGGAGATTATTACGCGATGGGGAAGGGGATGGAGGGTGTTGGTCCCTCTCTCTCCCCTCCTCCGTGTACCTTCCCCTCCGCCACCCTCTCCCTCCCCTTCCGTCCCTCCCTCCATCCCCTTCACCCCCCCACCCTCATTACCAATCAACATTCGACTTTCAAAATTTCGTATATTGAGTTTGTCTCACAAGAGGAGGTGATGTAAGAATGTATCTTAAACCTCACATTAAGATAAGTGTGGGAGTTTAACCAGTAAACACGTTTACTTAGCATGAGTTTTAGAGGAGATAATAATAATAATAATAATAATAATAATAATAATAATAATAATAATAATAATAATAATAATAATAAACTTCAGTAACAGTACAATATAATTCTCACATATAATCATTAATAATAATATTTTAAGATTTTCACTAAATTAGGTCAATTTTAGTGCATAAGAGACGAGAAACTTTAAAAGTTAAAAACATCGTTCCATTTATTAACCTAACAACGATTATAGGTAAGTTCGTTAATCTATACTAAACGAGACATTTATAGCTGCGTTTAACGACTAACGTTCATACTTAAGAGCTCCCAGTGACTTTTACAGCAGATATATTCATCACAGGTTGCGGCGCCCCGTCAGCTGAGACTATGACTGGCCAAACACACACACTAACGGCTCTTCTATATTAACCACAGCTTTTAAAAACAACTCATTTGCATATATATTCTGTGTTTTATTCCCACTAACCGCTTATTAAAACAACATAAACTAGTCTAGTGAGGGACCTGAGAAGGAAATACTTAAGGCAACGAAACTAACTCGCGCTCCTCTCTCTCTCTCTCTCTCTCTCTCTCTCTCTCTCTCTCTCCTGGTAATTGATATTGATCCCCACATAAACGGACGGTAAACAAGGGGGAGAGGGAGAGAGAAGAGAGGAGAGGGAGAGAGGGAGAGAGAGAGAGAGAGAGAGGACGAGGGTCATTTGCCAAGGCTTTTCCACACAACAAGTGAATTTGCATGTTCACTTCCGGCTGTCAGTACTGCACCGAGCTAACTGACACTCAAAGCTGACAGACGAGAGCTGACACACAGAACTGACAGCCAGGTAACACAGGACAATAGAAGCACACCTTTACACCGACTATGGTGATACAGGTATGAGTGAGATACATCTTGGATACATCACTAGCCACTGACGATGTATCACTAGGGTATAGGACACATACACTGGATACACACACAGAAACAGGTAATATGTATATGTGTGTGTGAACTGAC